TTGTTGTTGTTGTTGTTGTTGTTGTTGTTGTTGTTGTTGTTGTTGTTGTTGTTGTTGTTGTTGTTGTTGTTGTTGTTGTTGCTGTTGTTGTTGTTGTTGTTGTTGCTGTTGCTGTTGCTGCTGTTGCTGTTGCTGTTGTTGTTGTTTTGGGCCTAGGAGGACGCGCGCGGCAGAAAGGCCCTGGGGACGAGGATGGATTGGTTTTGAACCGCGTCAACTTGTTCTTAGTCCAAATTTCATGAAGTAACCTTACCCGAACTGCCAACTTGACTGGATATTATCGCGTTATAGCGAAAACTCTTATTAACTCTGACCATAATCTGAACCAGCAGAAAGTCAATGAGAGTTGATGGGAGTGCATACGAGTCGATAAGAATTGGCGGAAAATGCGACTTCGGGAAATTTCATTCAATTCGGTCATCTTTCTTTATAATGACACAAAAAAAGGATCATTAGAAAGTCTGAATTTTAGCTTTTAAAAGGATATGTTAATACACGAATCGCGAAATTCGATTGCGCATCCAAATGAAACGTTCTGGGTCGGGCAAAGCCCGAATTCAAAGAAAAACATGTAGCTGTAGTGAATGGATGATTTAAGATATGCGTATTAAAGTATTCAAATGTTCAGTCATACATTCGTGTTGTATTGTATTAATATGTAATCATGAATGCATGAGTGAACATTTGAATACAACAATGTATACTGAAATCCTTTATTTTCTATCTATCTACTTGATTTAGGACCGAAATTCGTTCCTTTTACGAAAACCATCAACAAACATACAGAACTGGATGTCAACGTACAACTGACGAAACTCGCATACCGACTGCGCTGGAAAGAAATACACAATGACCAATCAACAAACGAAAGTCAGTCTTCTAACACGAGTGACGTTAATGCATATCAATCCATAGAACGAACAATTGAACTTTGTCCTTTCGACAAATATTGAAAAGCGCCAGAAACGAAATTTAAATGCTTATAATCGTCTCTGCAACACCTTAAACATGAAGTAAAGAAAGTGATCAACAAACATAAATCACAACCTAATCCTTCCAACCTTAAGAGATCCTGGGAAGTTAGAATCTCAGTGAGTGATAAAGGCGGCGAGTTTGTGGTTATGAACAGCAATCTGGATAACGAGTTAATGGAAAAACACCTAGGAAATGAATCCCTTTATCAATCCTGTACTGATCAAACTCAGAAAGCCGAAGATGAAATAAACGAAGTATGGGAATATGTGGCAAAAAAAATTACGTGAGTGAAAGATCCATCAACAGATTAAAGACGACCCACAGTGTGTGTCCTGTTATTTACTTGCTCACCAAAACACACAAATTTCCAAACAACACGCCAAATTCCAACCCTGATAACATCAAAGTACGACCAATAATCTCTTGTTGTGGCGGACCTGCAGATAAAGTCTCGTGGTTGATTCAAACCTTATATAACCCTCTTCTCCAATTTGTAAAAGCGCATCTTCGAAACACTGAACAGTTATTAAAAAAATTACGTAGCGGAAAGGACGGAGAACTACAAAACAAGTTCCTCTTTAGTTTGGATGTGGTCTTCTTGTACCCTAGTGTGGATAACGACACAGCTAGCCATTTATACCTTACGTCTGTAACTTGAAAAAGAAAAAACGAACATCCAGTTATAACCAGTTTTCCGTATCAGACATTCTTCTACTAACCAAAACTATCTTCGAACATAACTGTTTTTCTTGGAAACGAACATACTACCAACAACGTTGAGGTCTAACAATGGGAAACCGATTAGCGCCGATACTTGCTATACTCTATATGGATCGAATTGAAAACCAAGCCATCTATTCTGATCAAGCTCTGTCCGTCTCGCTGTACTTCCGATACGTTGATGACTGCATCACATCTGCTGGTAGTTCAAAAGAAGCTGCGGGGATTCAGGACCAACTTAATTCTTAGGAACCATCAATTCGTTTTAAAATCGAGTTGCCAGGCGAAGACGGTTTCCTTCCTTCCTCAACACCAAACTGAAAGTAAATGAATCTGGTACAGTTGATTCGGGATGGTACACCAAACGAGCAAATAAAGGTCTGATGATTAATGCGAAATCCCATCATCCAGAACACATCAAGATAGCTTCCATCAGCAATACCATAAACACCTACACCTCCATATGTTCGAATGACACCTTACTCCATGAAGCCGAGATAACATTCGAAAGAAGAGCAAAAAGAAATGGATATGATACAAGATATATAAATAAGGTGAAAGAAAGAAAAAACAAGGAAAATAGAACCAAAAAGGAACCCCTACCCACTTTATCCATCCCATATATTTCAAGTGCATTCACAAAAGACATCAAAAGAGCGGTTCAACGATCGAATCTCAATGTTCGCATAGTTCAACGACCACAACGTCCCCTCAAAAGTCTTCTGGTAGAATCTCGACCATATGACAAAGAATGCAAGAATGCCAAAAATGCCCAATTTGCCGAACCTCGTGCATCTGCTCCAATTATGTGTTCGCAGAAAGATACATTCTATCAATTGAGTTGTGATCTTTGCGGGGCATTTTATGTCGGCATTTTATGTCGTTTTAACCAAAACTCTCGGTTAAAATATTAAAAAAAACAACGGGATCTTTGGAGCGGAAAATTACCGAAGCTTTGTTTATCCAGCAACTTAAACCGGATTTGAATGGCAAATACGAACAGCTGAGTATTTTGGACTTTGTAGTGTAAATAAACTCAGACTATAGTAATTGCATTCCTTTTTAATCTAATTATTGTAATTCTAATTGTAATTTAATTTTTCTCGGACAGGCAATCTATGTGCTTGCGCAACCTTGCACGCGAGCATAGATTATAGATCATACCAGATGTCTCACTGTGTATCTATATCCCTATGATTTTCGTGTCCGCGATTTTCGCGCGTGTGACACTTACTGTCAAAATGGCGCTTACTGCCACAATGCGTGAATTAGACTTACTGCCAAAATGGCGGCCAACGCGTGTTCATAAAAAATCGCGGACACAATTTTGGCTGAGTGATTCATCTGGTATTATCTATCATCTGTGACGTGAGCATGTAACGGTTACAAGCGTTGACGTTTATTATAGTTTTAACGGTTTTAGATCGCAAATTGCAGTTTTTACCTGATGATGGAGTAAACTCCTAAACGTCGTATTAAATTAAATAAAAAAATTAAGCCTTGTTATTGGTCATTATAAAAAACAAAATAATTAATTGGTAATAAGTTTAAATATATTAGTCGTTCTTTATAGGAGAGATTCAATGTTTTACACATAACTTTCGTTCCTCGTCTTTGTATGCTTTCCGCCATTGTCAGCTGTCCAATGGCTGACTGAGGATCCCAGATTTGAGAACAATATGATAAGTTCGATCTAACCAGTGTGATGTATAATAGTTTAAATGACTTTGTTTTCAAATCCATCGTACATTGACGCTTTAAAAAACCTAACATTTGATTTGATTTAGCCACTATCTCAGTTCTTTATGTGCTCATTCTATGTGAGGTCATTGATAACCACAACTCATGCAAGATCATTATTCGAATGAACAGATTTTATGCTCACACCATCAATATTGCATGTATGAACAATTTGACTTAGATCTTTTGCGACTAACACGAAGGTTATGACATTTGGAAGGCTGAAAGTATAGTGATTATGTTGGCCTGCAGGACGACCTAAATACCTTAAGTAGATGGTCAATTATAAATGTATAATTGACCATCTACTTAAGGTATCTAGGTCGTCCTGCAGGCCAACATAATCACTATATAGTTTTCCTGATGGCTTTGTAGCATTTTGAATCATCTGCGAACATTACTAACACGCAATGAATTGTAATATCTGGCATGACATTTGTGTATATTATGAATAAGATCGGTGCAAGAATTGAACCTTGGGGTACTCCTGACCGTTCAACGAAGCTGTAATCAGAGGTTCTACAAACAGAATGATCCTTAAAGGCAGTCAGGAAAAAAATATTGAATGCTTCGGCTTTGGCTCTATTGTCTGTAATAATAACGTCATTATAAATGACTGAAGCTAGATAGTTTCTTTTGTTTTCAAAGGAAAGAACGACCAACATCTCTTGGGCTTTTCATTAATCTCGCTAGCAATTTGGGAGAGATAGAGTTTTCTTAATACGCGAATCCCATTTTTTATTCGCTGCCTTTCTTTTCGAAATTTTTCAAAAAGTCTGGGATCGTTACCTCTTTTAAATTTGCGCCATATAGCGACTTCTTACGTTTGATAGCATTTAATAAATCCTTTTTTATCCATGGTTGGTTTATTTGAATTCCGGACTTTGATTTTGGGTATTTTTGCCTGAATAACTCCCAGAACCATATCCGTTCAGATTTCCCAGAGTTTACCGATATCCTCTTGACTAGTAGTATTTTCGACTCCATTACTTTATGGCATCAAGGAAATAGTTTTGTTCAGTGAGTCAAAATCAGCTTTTCTAAAATTGTGATGAACTTCTACAAACGGTCTTTTCGAATTTGGGTCTCGTATTTATCTCGAAAAAACTGGATAATGATCAGATTTTAGACCACTCAAGTGAGTTTATACAAATTAAGTCTAATATATTTTGACCGCGCGTTGGAGTATTTACCATCTGAAAAAAAGCATTTATCTAATAAAATACTGACAAATCCATGTTCTCCGCTTTGTTGACTGCCAGAGAATCCTGAGCCTTCAAGCCATTCGAGTTTTGGATAATTAAAGTCTCCAACAATAAATACTCCATAATAGGAACTCAAGTTAAGTTCATAGAGTTTAATAGTGATGAAAATTGTTCAAAGAAATTGCCCGTGTCATTTGGTGGTCGATAACAATTTATAAACAACAACTTACTGTCTCGAGGTAGATCCAATTCAACGATCACAGCTTCAAATTCATGATCAATAGGCTTACTTAATTCCCTTGAAACTAAGTCATTTTTTACTGCAATAAGTACTCCAACTGGCGTTCGATCTTTTCGATCTTGACGATGTATATCATAAGTATACGGAAATAATTCTGAATTAGCAATTGAACCGTTTAGCAACGTCTCTGTTATACATATCACATCAAGGTCACAACTATATGCAATATCCTGTAAGGTAGAATATTTAGCTTCACTTTTATTAACATCGGTACATGTTAATGCCTTTAGACTACGAGCGTTTTGTAGAAAGCAACTTAATGATTTTCTCAACGAACTACTTGATCCAGAGTAAATTTTAGAAGAGTATAATATAGGACCAGCATTTGGCGAAATATTCCCACCGAGCAAGACATTTCCTTCCCAATTCAATGCGATACAAAGGTAGCCATGCTTGACGAACGCCGAACGAGAGCAAAGCGCTTTCCATGGTCTAAGCTTTCGATTTTGAGAGAAATATTTAGAAATGTCCAAGGCTCACAAATACACAAGGTTCTTGTGAATATGCCCTGTCAGAACAAACGAGAAACAAGGACTATATGAACCACCTCCAATCTCCAAATTCCAAAGTTCGATGTATTGCAGTCTGCAAATTCTAAAGTTCGACATATTGTTGGTCGAATTTCGTGTTCCTGTTGAACAAAGTTTGGCGTATATCTGCAGAGATATAGAGTGATAATCACAGCCCGTTGGCAAAAAAACAAATGACACTCCATTGTATTCTCCCGATGTACTTTTTTATATAAATAACAGCAGAATAAAGACAAGAATACGACAAGATATAGAGCTCCGATTTGAATGACCAACTGCCATACTTCACTTCGACTTTCAGCGGCCATTATCTTCCCGTAATGGAGCGACAGTCTATTACGTAAAAACAGACGCACGCCGGCATTTTGGAACAGAACAGCAAAACTAATTGAAAATCTGAAAATTATAATTTAATTAGTTATATAATAAGATATCTGTGAATATGTTTTTTACTGGAAACATTGGTATTTTTTGTGTTCTTCCACCAAATGTGTACCACCGACGCTACTGATGATGCATTTCAAATATGCATTTCTTGTTTGTTTCGAGTATAAATGCCTATAAATGCCATATAATAAACTTTTTATTAACCTCGCTTACTCGGTATGTACAGAGGAATATAGGACCTCGTTCCGTCTTTTTGTACAAACCTCGCCCTACGGACTGGGCCGTCTGTACAAAAAAGACCTCGGTCCAATATTTCGCTGTACAGACCTCGTGTTTGGTTAATAAGAAGAAAATATCATAATAATGTTATTTCCTACAAATTTAGCTTAATTGTGGCTTTGGAAGGTATAAAAACCCGTGGAAATGAATTGCTATAATAGATTAAAAATAATCTCGACTATGATTGAAATTATCGAAGTAGAATGCTATTTTGTTGTATTTTGACTTTATTTGACTTGATTAAAAACGGTACTATTTCACCAGATTAATTATATACAAAAATATAATTAGAAATAAAGAGAAATATTAGATTTCAATAGTGTTAATGAAAATAGTATTTACAAAATGTACTGTAGTTCTGAAGTTTTGCACACAATATAATCAGAGCGAGCACAAAGGTTCCGTTTCAATTTGAGCATATAAAAAATGAGTGTTTTGATAGCGTGGCCTTTCACGATATATAAATAACGCCTGATAAATAATCCGTGCGAGCACAACGTAACAGACCCAAAATCACAATAAATAACTAAATATAAGTAAATTAAGAACAGCGCTTTACCTACCTCGATCTATTTTTCTAAGGCGCTCGATTACGTAAATTTTCGGCGAACAATCAATATTTTCTTTACTTTTCCTCGACGAAAGCCGTGGACGAAAACGTGCATGAGTGATTCACATCACATGAAAATGCTCCTCGGAAAAACTTAGTTTTTGTCGTATTTTACGAATCTGCCACGTGATTTACCAGCGCCGGTACAGCGCAACACGAAATTTAGAGCTATTTGAAAGTTACATGCCATACATGGCATGCAACAAAAACTATAAGTTCCTTGGTTTTCAAAGTGTTGAACACCTTCACCGTAAGGCCTAGACGGAATTTCAACTTTTGACTTACTGCCATAATTATAGTGGATATTTCCGTTCATTTTAATCTCAATAAAAATACAGGAATGGGAGGAGGCGATTAAACGTCGACAAGAGGCTGAATTAATTAAGTGGATTCCAAAGATCTAGAAATTTATGAGCCTGTTCACCTGTTTCCACTTTGTGGGAATATACGACACGAGGCCCCCGAATTTAGACCGCGAGTGGTCCCTCGAAGAAATGAGGGACCGCAGACAACACAGCAAGAAACGAAATACGCCCACTTTTCGCTCTTGTCAAATTGGCTCCGCCTTTGCATAAACATTACTATATCCAATTAAATCTATCCAATAGGAAACCGTTAAGGTTAAACCATCTTCAGCGCGCTATTGTACCTGAATTACTCGGCATATGAACATTTTTTTCATATTCGAAAAGATGAGGCTTTTAGCTGTTGAATGACATGTTTTCATGCCAAATGGAGAAAAAGTAAGCAAGTACGATTCCGATAAAAATGTTAGTCAGAATCGCATATTACAACGGTGAAAATATGGGATGTGACTAGCATTTTTTATCATACTCGTACTTGCTTATGTTTTATCCATTAGGCACGAAGAACATATCATTCAACAGCTAAAAGCCTGATCTTTCCGAAGATGAAAAATCTCGTTCATACGCAGTAAATCAGACACAATAGCGCGCTGACGTTCGATTACTTTTATTTTGACACACCCTGTATAAAATCAACATTCACTATGGAAATTATTTATAGCATAATCATAGCATAATTACTACATATCAAATTTGATTGACAGGCGTATCGATTTCGACCAATGGGAATTTTGCGTTGTGTGGGCAACGCGGATTTCATTTCTTGCTGTGTTGTCTGCAGTCCCTCCTTTCCTTTCTCGTGCCCGGTGTCAAGCGAAATACCTGACCTCTGCGAAATTCCTGACCAAGCGTGACGGCTCATGTATTTCGCGCGTGTAGGCGGGAAATACATGACGCTTGCGAAATACCTCACTCGATGAAAACCTCAATCAAAACCAGGCTTACATCTCGGTTTATATCGTGTTTAATGCTATAATAATGTATTGTATCGAATACCGAAGCTAGAATCAATTTGATATTTCTGATATTACTGAACAATCGGGAATATATGTTTTTTATCGATTATACTTTATATAGACTATAGTCAATAAACAATCTGCGACTTCACGGGAAATGAATAATAAATAAATATAATTAATATATTTTGCATATAGTCTATAGAATATATTTACAAAGAAAAAGTTGATTATTATACTAGTATAACGCGTTTTACGCGTGTTAGGCCTACCTATGTAGGTATCTTTTGGATATCATGTTGGACTTTATTGTAAGGTATGACTCTAGTTTTAAGCTGCGTTTTTATAAGGAAAAGTTTAAATATTTTTAAATCAGTTTTGACTGTCCAGTAAATTATTTGAACTACAAATGCACAATGTCAATGACATTGAATCATTCATACAACCATAAATCATAATATGGAGATATTTCAACATATGCACAATATACGCACAGTATACGCACCACCAACTAGTTAAATTAGATAGAAACGACTCAACGAGTTATAGGCCGTGGGCTGTTATGCGAAAAAGTGCCTAGAAAAGCAATTTCGTGGCACCCTCCTGGGAAATAGATTTTCTGTCGTTCACTGATTAATAGAACCATAGATGCTTAATACAAGACCGCGAAATACACGACGTTTGCTAAATACAATCGGTCGAAACGATTTTTAAGTCCATATGCGATGTTAATACCACAAATGTTTCTAATATAGACATCGCCAAATCTAAACGGCCAACTCGGCAACTCACGAACTCATTGTTGCTGTTTGCTACTGAAATCGTGACAATTGAGAAGGTCAAACGCGAAACAAATTTTGGTGCTTATAGTAATACTTTATAAATACACGTGTTGTCTGTTGAGTTGCGAAATTTATGAGCCAAAGTCATTCATGCACATCGTCTGCGCATGGGCAGTTCTACAATAGTCAGATATTTCGCAAGTCAGGAATTTCGCGTCACACCGGAAATCTAAACCCGCGGAAAGGAGGGACCGCTCGCAGTCTAGCGAATTTTACCTAGCCAACAAGCGCCGTATAACGGGTAATCCGCCACTAAGTATAAAACATTACAAAGCAAGCTGCACGACATATGAAATATATAATTCTCCAGACAATAAAAGAGTGTGAATCAAAAGACAACATAAACAATAAATAAAATACATGCATTACTTGAATATACAATACTATATATACTACATGCATGAGACTGAATTAAAGAACAAAACTCTGAATATTTTACAGGAGGCTGAATGTAGATAAAATAAATTATGATTTGGAACTCGTCTATATACGAGCATCTTCTTAAATTTTTTGAAATCACGAGCGTGCCATTGTAGTAAAAACCGTATCTGCCAAATGAGAAAGTGCCGCAACCTTGTTTTATTTAACCAAGACACTAGTGTAGTAGTGAGTTAAACGTACATTCATTAACATACATTCGGACCATATTTTGGTATATTCAAACATTCGACTAGGCCACCTGGGATAAAATAGGCCTAAAATCCAAATTATTATTATCGTCTAGCCTGTTGTTGATCATGTCTGGAACGATATTCATGAAAGCGGATCATATCTTTATTTGAATCTCCCAGGATATAAAAGTCCATCCATCATTACTGGTGACTGCTAATCGTCGTGATTTTCTACTGTCAACCTCGAGTGGATGATCATACTTATTTATCGTGGAACTAACTGTTGGGCATGAGTCTAATCTCGAAAAGAATGTTCAACGAAAAAATGCCAAATATTCATAATTGATTAGGGAACAATGTGAGCATTCCAAAATTGTTAATTTTATAATTTTTTCTATTAGCAGTCTTGCAATTTTTGTAAAAGAATGCTTTACCTTTTATAGACATGCTTAATGATCTTGGCTTCGAGAAAAATCACCAAAAATACTGTATTAAACGAATGGGGACTATTGCGATCAACAAATCATATATTTTGTTACCGCGGAAACATTAATATATATATATATATATATATATATATATATATATATATATATATATATATATATATATATATATATATATATATATATATATATATATATATATATATATATAGGCTATGATAATCGGGGTGAGCTGATATCAGTTTTATCGCTTGAGGGATCAATTAGCTCTAATCTTTCTGATCTTGAAGAAAATCAGGGGGCCCCGGTTATAGGGGGCCCCCGGTTCAAAATTTTCAGGGGGTCCCCGGTTCAAAATTTTCGCAGGTCCCCTAGTAGAAGTGCTAAAGGCACGAGTCGAGCACCGTATAGGCACAAATTTTTCTAGGGGGTCCAGGGTATGCTCATCCGGAAAATTTTTGAATCTAGACTCTCTGAGAGGCCATTTCTTGGACTTTGGGGAGAGATTTTACAGAATTCTGATGGTCAGAAAATAACATTGTAACATATCAGAGGCCCTGGGCAATGTTTTTGCTGTATCGCCTAAGCCTGGGGGCCCCCCATTGGGGTTGGGGGCCCCCGGGTTCTCCCGGTCTGAGCCCATAGTAATTACGCCACTGAACACCGAGCTGAGTAGTTTAAACACCTGGCTCAATGCGAACAGACTAAGCTTAAATAGTACTAAAACTGAATTCATGGTCATTGGCTCTCGACAGAGGCTGATGTACCATGATGTTAACAATCTTAATATATGCGTAGATAACACTCAAATTAAAAGAGTACAGTACACGAAATCCTTAGGTGTAACAATTGATGAAAATTTAACTTGGAAGAACCATATTAATACTATCTGTAAAAAAAGTATCCTCAGGAATTGGTACCCTCAAACGAGTGAGGCGTTTTGTAAACAGGGAAACTGCAGTGAAAGCGTACAAAAGCTTAATTGAGCCTTACCTTAATTACTGCATATCGGCATATGGTATCGGCAGCGAGCTGAGCAGTAAGTTACAAAACCGTGCTGCTCGTATGATCACGGAAAGCACATATGCAAACTCCTCAAATTCTTTACTGGAGGTCTTAAACTGGCACCAGTTATCTCTCAATCGCAAAAAGCATAAAGCAATTCTTATGTATAAAACTATAAACAAGAGTGTACCTGAATATCTACAAGGCATATTTATTTCGCGATCTTTTCCTTACAGATTGAGAAACAATGAAAATACATTATTTGTCCCTAAGCCACATACAGATTATCTAAAGCGCTCACTCAGCTACGATGGAGCTGTTTTATGGAATAGTTTACCAACTGAACTTCGTTTGGCACAATCTGTTAGTGCTTTTAAACGAGGTCTAGAATGTTTGTTAGCTTAGATTCACACACGGCAATCATGTAAATCAGTACTGTTCTGTCTTTTGTAAATAGCATTTGTATTTTTTTTTTCTTTTTCTATACTTTATATACATCTATATTATGTAAATTTTTACTGATGATTCTACCGTGTCAAAGTAAAGTTTATAATAATAATAATAATAATAATAATAATAATAATAATAATATTAATAATAATAATAATAATAATAATAATAATACTAATAATAATAATAATAATAATAATAATAATTAATAATAATAATAATAATAATCATAATAATAATAATAATGGAAACTTTAATAATTTTGTTATATACTATATATATACAATTGTAAATTTCACTAATTTAAGGTAACTTACAATTGGCTATATTATGAATCACAACTATATGAACTAATAAAAATGATAAGACAGAATACATGAAAATATATAAACATACAAGACAATCAGACATTTCAAATAGTTAACAAGTCCGGACTTTCCCCACCGGGCACACGACGTTGTTTCAACGTTGAAATTTGGTAGAAAAAAGGTTGCGACGTCGACAACCTAATATCTACGTTGCTCTGACGTTGTTTTACAAACATTGGTTCAACAGCAGCCAACAGACGTTGAATTAACGTTCATTCATGGTTAAATGTACGACGTCGATTTGTGAACCAATCTCAACGTTGTTTTAACGTGGATTCAACGTTGAATTATGGTTGACGAGATTGGCAACCTAATTTCAACGTTGTTTCAACGTCGAAACAGTAACATAGTCTACCCTTTTTCAACGTCTGTCCAACGTCTGGAAGGTCATTTCCAATGTTGATTCAACGTTGGATAAACGTCATTTTGCCCGCTGGGTCCCATTCCTTATTTCGGCAGCAAAAAATATAGTATATGTACTTCGAATGGCAATAGTCATCATTTTCCTAACACAGTACGTTTGGTAGTTTTTGTCCAGACCAACATTTCCTAACATTTCTAAGAATGTAGAGCATTCTTGCGCAAAAATACCTAGGGAGCTCATAGAAAGATTTATAAAGTTTACTTCGTTAAAATTTTCGTCTAGTTGTTTTACTAGTTCTTTATATTTGGCTTTTTTCCGATTAACGTTGTTCTTGAGGTTTGTCTCATAGCCAACAGTGAGCTCGATCACATAAAGAGAGCCATTTGATAACGATAGCAACAAATCCGGGCGATACGTATCACCAGTTATTATTGAAGGATTTTTGAATCCAGGCACATCAGCGTAGAGGGCAGAACCGTTCACACTTTGCAAGGTATTGGCAAGGAAGTTCAGGATTGAATTGTGTCTCCACGTAAATCGATCGAGATAACACTAACATCCAGCGACCACGTGCAAAAATGATTCTGGGCCAAGACAAAAGGAGCATTCTGAACTTGAAGACAATCCCCATCTGCTAATTAAGGTTCTTGCGTGTGGGAAGAGAGTTATTGATATAGCGTATGTTTAAATTATAAATGTTTTGCGGAAGTTTAGATTGAGCAGTAGACCACACTTTGCTAAGATGCGACAAGGAGGACTTTGTTATACTAGAGAAAAAGGATCCCTGACAAGTTAATTGATTTTGGAGTTTATCTTCATGTTCAGACCGAAAGTCTTTAAGCACTTCTTTGGTTGAGTTATAAAAGTCGTATTGGATATTAGTATGAGTATTAGTAGATTTCCACAGTTCGTTGATTGATTGATTTGGAGAAAGTTTTAAAGCTTTTCGAAGAACTGTTTTGCATTGGATAAATTTCACCGATGGAGGATAAATACTTTGACCAAATTTGTTGCGAGTTAGAAAAACAGTACTTAGTGTTCCTGAGATTGGAATTTCAAGCCATTTACGGATGTACTGGTTGACTACGGGATCAATATTTTCAATAACCCATGTTTTAGAAAGTGTTGCGATGGTGAAATGCCACGATATTTTGGATAAGACATAACGACTGTATACGATAAGCTTATTTCTTGGGTGGGATGGCTTCGAGTCAATATCAGTCATTAGTTCGTTAACGAGAGTGGTTAGTTCAGTCTTATGGTTATCGTTCGACATGTTAATATCATAATAATAATAATTTTTTTTTTTAAACAACAGAAATCTTTATTAATAACATGATAATTTATACAAATATATCACATAATTAGACTTTCAATTAAATCAGGAAAATAGAGAAACAGTTCACTATGTTAGACAGATAGGTCCATTCTCTACACTTTGTATCAATAGTAGCTAATAAAAATTCAGTAAGTCTGGATTATTCCACGGCTTGTTTCTTCTGCAGTAAATGTAGAATGTTGCTCTCAAAGCTACCTCCATACATTTTTTAATAATACGTTCGTCGTTCATTTCAAGTGTTCGTAATAATCTACGAAATCTGTCAATATCTTTCGACACAAACCCTAGAGTGGTTACTTCAAGTGTAATAACTTCAAACGCATAACATGCCGTGATCAGCTCAGATCTTAGATGTCTGTATCTTTCTTTCTTGCGACGTTTAGCCTTCGTACAATTGGTTTCGTAGGGAACAGTTAATTCAACCACATATACAGAACCCTTAAAATCCACCACTATATCAGGTCTTAGCGTTCGAAATAAAGTTGAAGTACAGGTCGTACCTGAATTAGGACAGTCAGCAAACAGTCGAAGATCTGCACCAACTGCGACTTTTAAGTGATGAATAATAGTCATCAGAATCGAGTCATGCCGCCAAGTATAGCGTTGTTGTTCTAGGGCTACCTTGCAGTTGGAAAAAACGTGTAGCTGGGTTTGTAACTTGTTGCACAGCTCACAGTTGGCGGAGTCACGAATGTTCCAGCGCTTTAGGTTAGAATTATTTCCTAAACTTAAAATTAACGCTCTCCTAGCAAAGCATACTATATTGCTGGGCATTCGAGTGACAATTTCGTGCCATACTTTAATCATCTTCTTATAGCAAGTATCAGTTAAGCAGGTAATGATCACGGATTGTTCTTTTAGTTCTACAAAGTTTGACCAAATTTCGTTAAGGTTTTTCTTTACCAGAATCTTCTTTGCAGCGTTTCTTAACATATATTGTTCAGAGATACTAGCAGCCGCCCGTTCAATAATATCATCAATGACGATGTTTTTTGATGACGTTTTGGTATATAGCTGTTGAATATCGGAGTTGACAGAACTCCTCAAGATTCTGCGCACTGTCAGTTTACATTGATTATATATGTCAGAGGGGGAACAGAAATCAATTCCCAGTTGTAATTTAGGAAGCTTTAGATGACTAATGTTACCGCTGATTGGGATCTGGAGCCATTTCCGGATATATTTGGAAATTATAGAGTCCAGATTAGAATGTATCCAGCTTATAGTAAGTGAGTAGATTGAAAAACGCCAGAAGAACTTTGAGTAGACTTAACTTTGAACCACGCGTATTTTCGAAAATGGATTTATTGGGATAAGATCAATTTTCTTTAAGTAGTGTTGGATTTCATCAAGGATCTCAATTTTGGTTTCAGTACAATCCATTTCAAAATTGAATTGTTTACCTAAATACATAAAACTTTCACCGTCCTCGATTGGGGGAACCTGTTGACCAGAGATTTTTATAGTAGGTTTATACTGGACTGCTTTTGTCCCAAACTTTTTTATCCCAAAAGTGTGGCACTTATTTACTCGGATATATAAGTCTGCCCAAGAGGACCATTTACTAAATGCATTGCACAGTAGTTGATTGTCTTCGTTATGTGCAGATATAATTGCAGCATCGTCCGCGAATTGGAACCAATGACGAGGGTTTAAGGATATATCATTAACATAACCAAGGCACTGTATCCTTTCATCGTTTATCGTGTTAATGAGTGAATTCACGCATAAATTGAAAAGCAAGGGGGACAAACAGTCTCCCTGCAGTACGCCCCGTTCTACAGATATCGGTATGGTTATAAAATTCTTCGTCAAGATTGAGATACCATAATCAGTGTAAAGGTTTTCTATCATACCAGTGATTTTGTCAGGAATGTGGTGACTTTTTAAAATAGATTTTATCAGGTTATGGTGCACTTCTCCAAATGCGTTTTTGAGATCGATTAGAGTGACAATGATAGACCGCTGCTTGTTGCGGGCGTGGTTTAATAAATAGTTTAACAGTTCGGTATGTTCAACTGTACCAGACAAGCCTGGCCAGAAACCCTTTTGAATGTTTGTTTCGATATATTTATTATCGCGCACGAATTTGAAAATTTTGTTCCTTATCGCAGAGGTGAAAACTTTCAACATGACTGGCTCTAAAACAATTGGGCGAAAATTAGCAGGATTGTCAGGTGAATCCTTTTTGTAAATGAGTACCGCAACAGCACGTTTCCAGATAGTCGGAATATATTTTTCGGTCCAGCATTTCGAGAGGAGTCTCCAAAGCTGTGTTCTCAGGATGGGACACCGTTTAAAAGGAATAATACTTATTTGGTCAATAGGGCAAGGAGAACCACTACTTTTCATTTTCCGAATTATTTTCGTTATTTCTTGGTAAGTTGGACATTCCAGGTCGACATTGCTCGATGTCACTGGAAATGATTTCAGCCAAGAGGGAAGGTTGAATGTTCGGTTTTTATGCTTTTCGAAGAAAATATTTCTAAAATAATCATAGCAGGACGATTCGTCAAAATTTGGTTCTTGTGTCTCTGATTCTTCAAACTCTTTTTTACAAAATTTCCAAAAATCTTTACTTAATTCTTCTTCATAATTACGCTGAACATGTGAGCGCAATTTCTTCCGCAACAGTCTACTGACATATTTTATTTCTTCCAGTTTGCCGTTTTGAAGTTTAAGGATTCTGAGGCATTTCTTTAACTTTGATTTTGACATATTATTATAGTGATTGAAATCGTTCCTAGCTTTAACTTGGCCATAATTGGCACTAAAATACGCCCATATAGTTCCATTCAAATGATCGATTTCCATATTCAAATTTCTTAGTTCCCTAGAAGTGTCTATCTGCATACGAAAATATTTGTTTGCCCTGTCCCATTCAGATTTCGACCGTGGGAGTTTAACTCCCACTAACAGCGATGGTTTTTGACTTGGAAAAATAGCACTAGGCATTTCGGACAAAACTTCCCCGCTACGTTCAAATTAGGGTTGTTCACTTCAACAAATAAGTCCGAAAGGTTGCCGCTACTATTCCCTATATAGCATGATCGACGATGCAAAGTCAACGAGCGATAGCTTAAAAATATACGGCCACAATAGCATCTAAACTTAGCACACTCACCCACCAGCTCACCGTCAGCATTGATATTGACTTGGTGGTCAGTCCTTTCTGTATTCGACGAACGTTCGTTATTACTTTGCCTTTCATTTCCAGCATGAGACGGATGACCAACGCGAGATTTGCATCGCCAAATGTGTCTCCCCAAAGATTTAAAATCTTTGCCACAATATTCACAGATTGTCGCTTTAATAGTCCAGAGTTGCCCCATAATCAACCAGAACAACATAATATTTGCCACGTAGAAGCCTTTCATCTTCATACTGAATTTGTAAAAGCTCAAAACTATCGAAAGTGCAGTTAAACAAGAAAGCTTTTAAAAATATAGCAGGAGCGCCGAAAGCATGACCTCCCCCGACGCTGATCACTGCATAAATAATAATAATAATAATAATAATAATAATAATAATAATAATAATAATAATAATAATAATAATAATAATAATAATAATAATAATAATAATAATAATAATAATAATAATAATAATAATAATAATAATAATAATAATAATAATAATAATAATAATAATAATAATAATAATAATAATAATAATAATAATGGAAACTTTATTACTTTCAATAATATATACACACACTACAATGATAAACCTCTCTGTACAGGTAGTTTACCAGTGTCTACTTGAATTAACACTCTACATAATAACAATATTAGTATGACATTAGTTGTGGGTTATCCCATTCTTTGTTACGCTTACAGAATATATAATACGAGGACCTGATACATATATTAATAATTTTCCGAACATAGTACTTTCTACATTGTTCATCAAACTTTAGATCTTAATAATAATAATAATAATAATAATAATAATAATAATAATAATAATGGAAACTTTATTGTAATCCTATACATTAAAATACATATAAATTTGATAGTATATATAACCTGATAAAACTAACTCATGTGTTTCTCTCCAATGTAAACATAGGGCAGTCCACAGAGATTACAGACATCGCTATAGTAGTAGATAGTTAGGATTAATAAAACTTTAAGATAGGCGGAGATGTCCATTGTTTGTTACGGCGTACATATATATAAAATGAGGCACGCATAGCTACTTCCATACACTTTTCAATCATTCTCTTATAATTAATGTTTGTATTTTTAAAGACACTGTATAAGTCATCTATATGTTTTGTTACTAGTCCAAGTGTTGTAAATTCAACGAAAATCTTTCTCCAGTGTCGAAACCTTTTCTTGCAATCATTTTGAATATCCCTATATTTGCTGATCTTTAGGTTCCTGCTCTTTTCAGAGTTTGTTTCAAAGCAACACGTCAATTCCAAAATGAAGATTCTGTCATCTTTTATTAGTACAATGTCTGGGCGGAATGAATGGAAGAATTCGTTAGGATTGTCAAAATTGTCTAGATCAGCATAGATTCGAAATCCGTATTTCCTTAGTTGAGACACATAGTGAAGCAAAGTGTAGAGAATTGAGTCATGTCGCCAAGTGTATCGACCTTCATCTGCCGAAACCGGACAGGCAGAAAGCATGTGAAGTTGTGTTTGTTTGTTTGAATAGCACAATTCACAAGATGGGTTATCACTTTTCCCCCATCGATATAGATTTGAATTATTCGGCAGAGAATATATCAAGGCTCGTCTCGCAAACACGAATATATTCTTTGGCATTTGGCGGCAGATGTTGTCCCACATTGTTATATGCTTAGGAGATGCTACCTGTCTAGCATGTTTCATGATCGTATTCTGTTCCTTAAGAGTCGAGAGATGTTCCACCACGGTATTTTCGATTTGTTGCTTAAGAGCTGATCTAGGATTGTCGTTGTTATAAATCAAGCAATCAGTTTGCACATTATTGAACTTGGTAAGATTGAACAGGCATCTCATATCATTGTTGATGGATTTAGAAAGAATTTTTCTAATAGACAGCTTACAGTATCTGTAAACATCAGAAGCCAGTTGGAGACCGACACCTAATTTGCTGCTAGCTAATTTCAGATGCGTCATGTTTGCACCTTTATGGAAATGTAGCCAACGCTTGATATAAGAGATGATCTTGTTATCTAAGTGCTGTTCCACCCAAGTTTGTGAAAGCCTGTAGATTGATAAACGCCATCGCAGTTTACTGTAGACGTACTTCGTGATAATCAGAATTTTATTTCTAGGGTGCAAAGGAAGCCTGTTAATTTTCTCTAAATATTCCAAAAGATCATATTCTAGTTCCTGTTCGATTACGACCGTGTCCATTTTATAATTGAATTGCTTTCCTAGATATTGGAATGATTCGTTTATCTCAACCTGAGGAATCATCTGATTATTTACTTTGAGATAAGGCTTAAATTGCGTAGCCTTTTTCCCGTTGTGCTTGATTCCAAATGTAGAGCATTTATTAACTCTAACCTGGAAGCCTGCCCAACGGCACCATTTAGTGAATACGTCGAGGAGAGCTTGGTTATCTTCTTCGGATGTTGTGACTAGTGCAGTGTCGTCTGCAAACTGGAACCAGTGTCTGGGGCGTAGGTATTCACAATATGAATAGCCAATACATTGTACACGTTCATCTTCTATACATTTGATGAGGGTATTAACGCACATATTAAATAAAAGGGGAGAAAGGCAGTCACCTTGAAGAACTCCTTTACCAACTAAAATTGGGTTTGTAATAAAGCTTTCTGTGCCTACTGAGATGGTGTAGTTATCATACAGGTTTTTGATAAGCTCTGTTACAGTTGTCGGAACATGGTGGTGTTCTAGTACAGTTGAAAGGAGTTGATGGTCAACTTCACCAAACGCGTTTTTTAAATCGAGTAGAGTGACTATCAAATGCCTTTTATTGTTGCGCGCATGGTTTATAATGTGAGTTAACAGTTCGGTGTGTTCTATCGTACCAGACACCTCTTCCCAGAAACCTTTTTGAATTTTGGTTTCTATATATTTGTTATCCATCAGAAATGAGTAGATTCTATTGCGAATTATTGATGTGAACACCTTGCCAAAAACCGGCTGAAGTGTAATCGGTCGAAAGTTTGAAGGATCTTGTGGGGAGTCTTTCTTATGTATTAAGATTGTAAAGCCATGCTTCCAGATTCTAGGAACAACATTTCCCTCCCAGCAGTATACTAGAATACGGTGTAATGCAGTTCGAAGGAACGGACATCGTTTAAGAATAATTATACTGATTTGATCGAATGGGCAAGCAGAGGATCCAGGCTTCATTTTCTTGATTATGTTTGTCACCTCACGGTAAGACGGAGCCGCTATATTAAAATGTTTTGTTGGTCTATCGAATTTTTTCATCCACTGGGGAATTTCAACATTCCCCTTCCCACTATTAGCCTTCAGGTGAACACGAAAAAAGCTTGTGCAAGTTTCTTTATCAAAATCTGGGAGGATTGTGTTTTCATCCTCAAAAATTTCCTTACAATACTTCCAGAAATTTTCTTGGATGCGTTCATCATGGGTTTTTTCAGATAGTATACGGTGAGTCCTTTTGCTATATTTTACTCGCAATAGTTTGCTAATATAGCGAATCTCTTGCGTTGCCTCGTTACACTGAAGTTTCTTTAACTCGCTTAAATGGTATTTAAGTTGCCGACGAGAAAGATGGTTGTACTTTTGCTGGAATATTGACCCTTCGCTTATGCTGTCATCTTCGTTGTTATAAGTTCCAAAGTTTGACTTGAAATATGTATAAATCATGTCCTGCAGTGAGCTAATTTCAGTATTAATATCAGTTATTTCGTTACTGATATTCAAATTTGCTCTAAAATATTCATTAGCATTATCCCAACCGATCGGTGTTTTAGGTAACTTTAAGCCTGGTTTAACGGGTATTCTCTGAAATGAATTATCTAGACATTGCGTCTCTTCATTCTCAACTGAATCTACTGCACGTGCTTGCCCTGGTGGCATCGGTGGATCAGAGTCTTGTGCAAACAGCAGGTTCAAATCTAGATTAGCATTAATGGGACAGTGTTTACGATGCGCTTGAAGGCCTTTAAAACTTTTGCATTTTTTACCACAATGGCATTCGGCATGTAGCAGATCGTGATCGTCGGTTTCTAGGTGATGATCAGCTGCAAAAGCCTCCTGATCGTGTTCGTTATTCAAGCTAGCAAATGATAGTTCAGGAAAGACAACGCTGTTCGATCGTTCCTGGCCAGCATCAGAGGCTGCTTTAGGCGAAGCAGTGAACGCATCACTGGTCACGCGTGCTTTGCAGCGCCAAACGTGTCGACCTAAGACAACAAAATCTTTACCACAGTAACTACACACAGTACCTTCTGTTTGAGTAATCATCGACAGAAAGAGCAAACCAAACAGCAAGCACACATTAGACCCCAAATACCACTGCTTGCTTTCCCTTCGATAATTGTTTCCGTGTGAAACTGCCATGCTGCTCTACTTCGTTAATAGTACTTCGTCGGTGTTGATTGAAGACTCCTCAAACACAATAACTTGTTCAAACAGTGTGATAATAAGAAAGAATAATAAATCTTCCCACAGGATAAAAAGTAAGCGATGTCTGGATCTTCGCACAGGATAAAAAGTAAGCGATGTCTGGATCTATTGAAACCAATTTGTCGGAGCGTAAAATAGCACATCCTACGCCAATCTCGACATGATAATAATAATAATAATAATAATAATAATAATAATGGTATAGAGTTTTGCGGTAATAGAGTTTTGCTGGTTGTGGCTCAGGATGCTTCTGTTTTAATTGCGTCATTACATCGTCAGTTAACGTTAACACGTTATTTGAGGTTTCACTCAGGAAGCGAAGGGCTGAGTTGATTTGACCTTCTAGCACAAGCTTAGCAAAGACTTTAGCTTTATCAGGTGGTTTGATCCTTTAAATTTTCCAATACGACTTTGTATGATTCGTCCCTCACGTATTAGCTTACTGATCTCACCGTCCTTCCAAAGTGCAAGTCGCTTTGACAAGGCATCTTGATGGTCCTTTGCCTTGGACTTCGGGTTTGGCTTTTGAAGCCCAACGGCGAGAAGTACAAAAACAGCTTTTAGGGAAACATGTTGATTTTCCGAACCGCTATTCCAGTCGTTTATATGCATCGTTATTTGATCCATAAAATCCCTTCCTATTTTCCCGTATGGCACTAGAAAAACATTCTTTTTCCACGCTGTAATTTCATCATATGCATCTGTAATGTCTGAAGTCGATATAACTATTGTTCGTCCATCGCCTCGCTTCCCCCAATTAATCATAGGTCGTTTATTTACATTATACTCCGGAAGACAGCCCGAGATAATTGCATTATCTTCGTTCTGGTCGAGTGCTCCCGGAATTTCATGTTGACTATTATGCAAATCGTGGCGGGTTGTTGTTTGCAATTCATTCGTTTGATTTGTATACTGCGATTCATTAATCAAGGCGGTATCTTTCGCCGACTTATCGAAACCGTTTGAGCCCTCTCCCGTTTGCGAATCCCGTATTAAATTGTCTTTATTCAACTCCGGTAAATTAATTGCTTTGGTTTATAGCAACAGAATCTCTTGATACGTTTCTCGAGTCCCCCAGCTCCAAAGATTTCTCCAGCCTTGCAGCTTGATCACGCAAATTCTGGCTTGAGAAGCCAAAATCATTATATCCTTTCGCATCCCATAGCTCCTTCATGAGTTTAATATAGCCTTTTTTCTTGCAATTTCCATCCAACGGTGGTTGTTCTATTTGTGTCATTGCCACAGCCTCGCGTTTGCAACTCAAAAGATCCTCGTTCATTTGATCTGTCCATTTACGCATGTGCTTATATTGCCTTCGATTAGCCATATTGACTTGCTATCGCTGACATAGAGTTTCACAAAATCGTTTAAACTATTGCCTTTCTGAGTTCATCTGTTCGAATTTGTACACAGCAAACTAGATTTTGTGCAGGAATTTCAACAACAACAAAATAGTATAAAGTCGTATTTTCGTTTATAAAACGTTATAATAATAATAAAACGTTATAATAATAATAATAATAATAATAATAATAATAATAATAATAATAATAATAATAATAATAATAATAATAATAATAATAATAATAATAATAATAATAATAATAATGAAAACTTTATTAAATGGATATTTAGCTTATATATACAATTGCAAATCTCACTTATTTAAGGTAATTTACAACTGGCTACTTAAATCACTGATTATATATACAAAAATTATACTATTAAGATAACAAAAAAAAAAAAATAATAATAATAATAATAATAATAATAATAATAGTAATAATAATAATAATAATAATTTTTTTTTTTAATTTTTTTTTTTTTTTAATAATAATAATAATTGCTGCCGAAGGCAGCACCCTATTCTTGACACGCGGTGGTTTCTCTAGAGTCCACTCGACCCAGTCTTTCGCGCGATCTATGTATTGTCGAGATCTCGATTTGTGTCTGTCTGTCTTTCTGTCTGTTAAGATGATTTCCGGGAGGAATAATTAAGCTTCAGGAAGTTTTTGTTAACGAGGGGGGCGGTCAAACTTTATTTTGTATTGTGCATTTGTGCAAGCAGTTTAATTAAACTTTTAATACGAGATCATACGAGTTTATATGTTGGATTGCAAACGAATATCAAAGAATAAATCAGGTAAGAATGGTTTTATTTTTTTCTGGTGATATACATGAATGCATTTAGATCTGCTGCTTTATAGCATTCGATACAGAGGTATTGAAACATATGATTTCATGATGTCAATAATGACAGCTATCTTATTTTGTATACAAGGAGCTTGAAAATGTACTTCGAGTTTATTTGTTTGTGTGGCGATGAGTTTTATATAGTGTTCATTTTAGATGTTTATAGCAATGGTGCTTTCAGCACCGCGTTTTAAAAACAAACGCGGACAGACGGACTGTTAATTACTTGTGCACGTAATCTTCACGTAATCAGGCTTCCTATAGCAACCCAGAATGGGGATTGTTGTCTGTATATATTAACTTTTAATAAAGATGCGGTACATTCCGTATGTAAACAAAGGCTTTGTTTACTTTTCGGTATCCAAAATATTGCATTTTATTCGACAACTATTTATATTTCCATGATTCTAGAGCATAATAAGTTATCAAGAGACAACAATCAAGCTTTGCAAGAACATAAAATGAAATAAAAACCTAAATAAAGTGTTTGTAAATAAAAAGAGGGCTCCTTTCTGAACATGTGCATTGTGCAGATCGGACTGTACTGCATCTTTAATAGCAGGCTACCAGCAGTTACATGCAAAAAGCATGTCAACTGACTTTTGTACAAGGCCGGGTATCATGCATGCCTGATGGCCTGTTTATAATATCTCTGAGACATCGATTGTTAAAGATGTGTACAGTCCGTATGTACACAAAGGCTTTGTTTACATTTCGGTATCCAAAATATAGAATTTTAATTTTATTCGACAACTATTTATATTTTCATGATTCTAGAGTATAATAAATTATCAAGACACAACAATCAAGCTTTGCAAGAACATAAAACGAAATAAAATCTAAATAAAACTGTTTGTATAAAAGAGAGCTCCTCCTTTGTGCACATGTGCAGATCAAACCGTACAGCATCTTTAACATAATATGAAATAATCCTACTGACCTATACTCATACATTCACCTGGCTGCATGTGTCATGCAATATGTTTCCAGGTATGCTATTCTTGGGTGTCACTAACTAGGCATTATGCAGTGGATCTGATGGGGGCTCAACCTCACATGTATTGATGCTTATGCTGTACTGGAGTAATAAATTATACAAAATTCCATGTATTGCCACCAAACACAAGGCTAATACATAAAACAAACAATCGACTCACTCTGATAACTGTGTTTTGTTTTAGAGTTGACCCCCCGTCACTTCCGTGACGTCATATGAAACCCAAGAATATTCTTCGTTAATGCTCACAATTTCTTTCTTATATAGTTTTGTAGTTCTGACTGAGTACAATCTCTGACTGAATACAATGAATGGTGTCATCTGAAGCTGACATATTAATTAAACAAAAATGTTAAATTAACAAATAGATTTTCTCTCCCCATCAGATTGTTCGGTTGATTTGCATGCATTAGGGGTGGCCTTGAAGGTGCCATGTAAATAATAATTGGGACAAAAACTGACTTAGTATTTCTACAGTGTGTCTCAAAAAAAAGTGAACCCTTTCAAATTCAAATTCAATGCAATTAGACAGCAGTCAAATTGCATTGAATTAATAGTTATGTAAGAACACAAGGAATACTGTGTTTCTTTTAAATTTTCTAATTTTTATTTCTTTCAGTTTTGTCCCATGAGTACAAGACCTTGTGTTCTTACCCAATCATTAATTCAAAGCAATTAGAGCTGTCAAATTTGAAAGAATTCACTTTTTTTAGACACACTGTATATATGGTAATTATACAGTATTCAGTGGCTAGCCAGCCATGGCAACTGGTCATGCTATCCTAATAAACCTGCATATATTGTAATAAACATACAAAAGCAATAAATTATAAGCATTGAAGGTGTTCAAATAAAACTGCCCAATGCCAAGAAAGTAGAAATAGAATATTTATCTGACCTTTGACTTTGTGCAAGGTGTTTGATATTCAAATATTATAATATAGCATTTGTAAATTCTGAACGCTGATTGGCTAAGAGCCGTGTTGATATAACTCGATGTCAACACGGGAAATTTTCCGCCGCTTGTCACGGAAATTTTTCTTATCTTTCGGGCTTTTGACATTGCTATATTATAAAAAAAATATAAAACATTTTTTCCGTATTGACATATAGTTATATCAACACTCGTGGAAGTTGGGAAAACTCGAAATTGTATGAAAACACTCCGCCCTTCGGGCGTCGTGTTTCCATACAATTTCTCGTTTTCCCAATTCCACTCGTGTTGATATAACTGTATATCAACACGGAAAATGTTTTATATTTGTTAAGTATTTTTCCCACCTCATGATCATGTGTCTTAGGGGTGTTTACTGTAAATATTGGAAGCCGGGTGATTTTATGTATTGAAATAAGTCAACAGAATTCATATGTTGTAGTTCAAGAAGATTACTATTGCTGCTTGAACAACCTTGCTCAATCGTGCACAGTAATTTATTTTAGAAGTAATACATCAAAATAATCCTGCCTGGCATCTCGTCCTGGCAAAGCAGGATCATGTATAGCCTCCTCCGCAGGCAACTCTTTGGCAAGAATTGGCAACAGTATTATTATGAATAAAAAATTGGCAAAAATGTGAATATCATAGAGTTTTTATCATATAAACAGTCCCTTATTTATCAAATTGCGCATGCTGCCTTTGATCCCTTGGGGGTGAGGCAGCACTTTCCTTGCGATAGTAACTTCTAGTAATAACCAAAGTAGAATATTTTTTGTTCGCTTTTAACGCATGAGTACTTATTATATGCATGTATTCAATAGTAATCGTAAATAAGAGACATAGCATGCAGTCCGCTTTCCTGCTCTGGTTCCCAACGAAGTACACCCTTAAAATTACCTTATAGTTTAGCATTTGCCTTACTTATTTACGCGACGGACTAACTTTTTAATTAACTAATTTCAATAGTATAATCATACGGTACATTTCAAGTTAAACGATTGCAATTTTTACATGGAGTATCTAATAACATCTAAAGCACGAATTACAGCGTTTGTAATAAATGTGTACCGTTTTAAACATTTACAAAATCTACCTGAATTTGTTAATGACTACTTCATACAAAACAATGAAGTGCATCATTACAATACTCGGAATTCTAACAAATTGCATGTCAATTATAGTAGAACTAACTATGCAAAACATACTATTGTTAACAAGGGAGTTAAAATATGGAACTCTCTTGATAAAGGAACTAACAATACTATGTTTTATTCTACTTTTAAGAAAAAGTTGAAAAGCCTTTTCTTGGAATATACCTAAAGGCTTTCATTTGTAATCTCACATAATAAACTCTTGTGTATATTTATATTCAAATCACTATATTTGTAAATACTCTTACTTTATCTTTGACAAGATTGAACAAGCTTTAACTATTTTTATATAATAATTAATATTGTTAAACTAGGGGCCTTTGAATAAAAGCCTGATAGGGTTTCATAAAGGTTCCTAGCCCATAATGTTTGTAAAAATATAGATTGTAAATATATTTAGCTTTATATGGGCAAATAAAAAAATATTCAACAATGTGAAAGGTTTTGTAAGTACAAACCCAATTATTGCTTATATTTTTGCTTGCCTTTTAATAAAATTATGTACGTTTAGCATTTGCCTATACTTTTTTACAAAACGGGATAATTTTAAAAGAAGTCGGGCTAATTTTAATAGACGCCATGCTAATTTCAATGAAAGCCGGGCTAATTTCAATAGAAACTTCAGGAGAGCATGATGTAATTTTTCAAGTTTAACGATTGCAATTTTTACTTGAAGTATCTAACAATCTCTAAAGCACGAATTACAGCGTTTGAAATAAGTGTGCATGCCAAGGTTTTGTGAGTTCAAGCCCAACTATTGCTTATATTTTTGCTTGCCTTTTAATAAAATTATGTAAGTTTAGCATTTGCCTATACTTTTTTACGAAACGGGCTAACTTTAAAAAAAGCCGGGCTAATTTCAATAGACGCCGGGCTAATTTCAATGGAAGCCGGGCTAATTTCAATAGAGGACGGGCTAATTGCAATGGAAGCCGGGATAATTTCAATAGAAACTTCAGGAGAGCATGATGAAATTTTTTTTGAAAGCATATGTTTGGGCTTGAACTTACAAAATCTGGCACACTTATTACAAACGCTGTAATTCGTCGCCTTAGACGTTATATATATTAGTTAACATGCACAACTCAACGAAAACGAACGAATATTCAGTTATGTTAATAAGGATAGCTTAAGCATTTTATATGTCAAGATTACAATTAAACATGCATATATCAAAACATAGGTTATTGTTTAGCAAATGGCTATAAATTGAATCAAAACTACCGAAGTTTTATATAGTCTTTGGCATATGTTTTTTGGTTTTAGGATACACATACTTTTTGACATTATCTGCATGAATAGTGAATAGCGATACAAATTGCACTTTTCATGCTTGTCTTTATGGAAATATTAAATGCAAGTATATATACTTTAATAATGCCTTGATGTCTTTCAACCGTAGTCACGATGGACGAGTTACATGAGACTGCAACCGCTCCGCAATTTTTATCAGTTGTACTTAATCTTTTATTCTTCGTTTATTTGTGTTGTGTGGGAATATTGAATAATTGTTAGAGGAAGAAAGGTATCTCAGCTTAAATAACGAAGTAAACCATGCATTACCCTGGCCCAGAGGTTTTTTTAGGTTTGGCGAACGCGAGAAAACGCGCGAAGAAAAAGGAAAAACCTCTGGTGAATTTGTTAGCGATTCCTGGTTCGGATAAAGAATGCAAAAAATGTATAATGGCTTAATGCATCATATTCTAAAAATATTATCCAATCATTATCCTTGACGCCAGGCCGTTTAGACAGGGTTTTATCGCATGTTTACTGTCCAGTGTATGCCTGCCCATTTGTAGCAATATTCATTCTCCTGAATTTCAATCAATTTAAAACATCACATCTATTCAATTTAATATAAATATATATTTATATTCATTCACTTTAATCTTGCAATATACATTCAAAAAAATCTGTATTTTATAAATTTATTAAACACACCTCTTTGGGCCGACGTGAACTTTGTCTGTTTAATAATACAAAAGCAAGCAAATTTGTCTTGTAGATTTCAAATGAAACCATTCCTCTCCATTTCGCATTTCGAACAATAGACTCGGGATTACAAAATGCGAATGTAAACTCTCCATCTAGTATTGCTTTCTCGTCCTCTTCGTTTGATAGTGAAGTATAAACACGGCATCCACGCTTTCTTAGTTCACGGACGTGAGTCGTGAGAGTCAATGAAAGAGTTCAATTTGCAAATGACTATTAAGATGGGTTTCTCCAGAAAATTGTGGCTTTTGCCAAGTCGTCGTGCTACTCTCGGTGTTAGAACTTTGGAATATTAAACTCTTCCCATAACCGATAGCAAGATGCAAATACATCTTTAATGTGAATCAAATTGGACAAGGCGCGGTATTGATGCTCCGTTAAACTTTTAATTCAGGAAATTTATCAATCTATCTGTTAATGCAGCCTATAAAACTGCTTCTTTCAACTTTTGTTCGTTTATTTAATAATATAGACATTTCAAAATTCAAATGTTTCAATTCAATCAAAACACGAAACGCCTGCGAACAGGCTATGATGTTTACAATATCCAATCAGAACACGTAGTCTATCGAACCTATAGTCAGCAGCCAATCAACTCTTTGCTTCCATTTTTGAAAGTTATGTGTGGAATGTGAACCCAAAAACTACGCCAATTTCACCAGAGGGTTATTCAAAACAGACGAAAATAAATACCCTCTGGTTCCAGGGTAACCATGCATTAATTGTTAACCGCTAATCTGTTACTTCAGCGTTTCTATAAATTATTATTCCTTGGCCTTGCAATAACTGGTGCCCAAGCGAACATCCCAACTCCACGTATTGAGGGAGTTTTGTTTCTTAACTTTGTGAGTTGTGAGTTTAATGGTCCGGATTTTTCAACGAGTTACAGCAATGCCTGCCTTTCTAAAATATTGAATATTTGACAATGGATTTCGAACAACTTATAATTGTATTGTTCTTGCGTCTTGCAAGTATAAGTCCGTTCGCTGTGTAACACCAGTCGCAAATTCATGATGTGCTGTCAGCTGTCTTAACCAATGAGAATTAGCTCGTTTGTTACGTGGAACGGTATGTGATTATATATCTATTCGTTCAATATCAGACGATAATTCATGATGTGCTGTCTCTACCAATGAACAGGCCAGTTTCTACGCATTTCGACGAATAGATCGTTCGTTTAATGAGCCTATACGTTCGTTTTCGTTCAGTTGTGCATGTTAACTATTAGATACCTCAAGTAGGAATTGCAATCGTTAAACTTAAAAAATTACATCATGCTCTCCTGAAGATGCTATTGAAATTAGCCCGGCTTCCATTGAAATTAGCCCGTCTTCCATTGAAATTAGCCCGTCCTCTATTGAAATTAGCCCGTCCTCTATTAAAATTAGCCCGGCTTCCATTGAAATTAGCCGGCGTCTATTGAAATTAGCCCGGCTTTTTTTATAGTTAGCCCGTTTCGTAAAAAAGAATAGGCAAATGCTAAACTGACATAATTTTATTAAAAGGCAAGCAAAAACGTAAGCAATAGTTGGGCTTGAACTTACAAAACCTTGCACATTTATTACAAACGCTGTAATTCGTGCTTTAGGGGTTATTAGATACTTCATGTAAAAATTGCAATCGTTAAACTTGAAAATATACATCATGCTCTCCTAAAGTTTCTATAGTAATTAAGCCCGGCTTCTATTGGAATTAGCCCGTCCTCTATTGAAATTATCCCGGCTTCCATTGCAATTAGTCCGGCGTCTATTGAAATTAGCCCGGCTTCTTTTAAAGTTAGCCCGTTTCGTAAAAAAGTTAGGCAAATGATAAAACTGACATAATTTTATTAAAAGGCAAGCAAAAAGATAAGCAATAGTTCGGCTTGAACTTACAAAACCTGGCACACTTATTACAAATTCTGAAATTTGTCGCCTTTAATTTGACGTTATTAGATACTTCAAGTAAGAATTGCAATCGTTAAACTTCAAAATATACATCATGCTCTCCGGAAGATTCTATTGAAATTAGCCCGGCTTCCATGCATTGAAATTAGCCCGTCCTCTATTGAAATTAGCCCGGCTTCCATTGAAATTAGCCCGGCTTCTTTTAAAGTTAGCCTGGCGTCTGCATGAAGCTTACTTGCTTGAATAAAAAGTATAGAAGGTTGTTGTTAAGACGAACATAATTGACTTAAAATAAAATCTTAGCTGTTACCTTTACTATTATGTTAGCATATTTCACTGCATGCTATATGCATGACTAACGAGTATTTCACTGCATGCATGCTATATGCATGACACTCCAGAGAATTGATCGTGCATTTGCATTATGTTAATTCCAGCAAGTTATATCGCTGTATATAAGGAGTCAAAAAACCTGCATGCCAACTGTTTGCTTCCCAACGATCGGCATGCCTCGTCAACGTATTCACGTCGACTGGAAAACTGTTGACGGGGCATTTAGTAAACCTCGAAGACTTCACTTAGAAAATGATAAAGAAGGTCTTTTCCATTGCCCTGCACATTATGTTAATTCCAGTAAGTTATATCGCTGTATATAAGGAGTCAAAAAACCTTCATGCCAACTGTTTGCTTCCCGACGATTGGCATGCCTCGTCAACGTATTCGCGTCGACTGGAAAACTGTTGACGGGGCATTTAGTAAACCTCGAAGACTTCACTTAGAAAATGATAAAGAAGGTCTTTTCCATTGCCCTGCACCTGGCTGCGAACATGATGGTTTCGAGAGTCAACGAGGCTATCGAAAGCACGTCAAAACAAAACATCGGTATATATATTTTGACACGAAGCCCATAATTTCTGCCGAAAGCGAACGAAAACCTGATGTGAATCAATCCTGTTCGTCGGGAAGCAAACCAACGCTGCCGTGTTGTGCTACAAATTCACAATTGGCACGATTATTTTCTTCATGGCTACAAAGCACGACCGGTGGCGAAAGGCAAGGGAAACATGCTGAAATCTCGGTAACTCGAGCATTTAAATTCTTGATTTAAATTATGAGATTAGGGTCATTGAAATTATGAGATTAGGGTCTTTAATGACATTTTCACCAACTTTAAGCTCACTAATGTAATTGGATTTATTTTTTTCCCTAGCAGAGAATTTATTGTAGACCAGCATTTTTTTAAATCCTTAGTGTCTGCACATTCAGATATTTTGTTAATATAGAAAGTAGATTGGGTCTCACGTATTAGTTTATTAACTTTATTACGCAATCTCTTATAATTATGCCAATGCGAATCAGATTTCAGTTTTATGGCTTTTTTATTATGATAGTCTCTTCTTCTCATATCTGACCTTATTGCCGCTGTCATCCACGGAGTGGTGTATTTCCCTGATCTTATATGTCTAATAGGAGCATGTTTATCTAGTGTTCCGATAAAGAGTTCCTTCCACTTGTTCCAACTCAAGTTTGGATCGTTTGTTGTGAAAATGGTTTGCTAAGGAATATTGGTTAGGTCGGATATAAATTCTGTTTCAGAAAAGTGTTTAAAATTACAAACTTTTTTAATAGTTGGCCTACGTTTAAGTGGTTTGAATTTGTGAACTGCATTAGTATATTAGGCTGTGATCTGATAGACCAACGTGAATGACGCCAGCATGAGATATTTTTTTCAGGAGCATTTGTCAGAATAAGGTCAATTATAATAGCAGACGTTCTCGCAACCCTAGTTGGTTCTTCTATTAACTGAGCTATATTATATAATGTATTCATAGTTTGAAATCTAATTGTATGCGCTTCTGGTGAGTGGTGAGGATTTAGCAACATCACAGTTTATATCTCCTAATATAATTAGTTCTTTGTTTTCAGCATCACAATTGAGAAGAAAAATATCGTATGCATCAAACAGATCCGTACTTGAATTAGGTGGTCTATACCATGTACTAACTATAGAAATAACCTGTTGAAAGGTTGATTAAGTTCTGTACAGATCATTTCTAGTTTATTTGGAACTAAGTCATTTCTAACCAAAATGGAGAAGTGTTATTGAACATATATTACAACACCACCTCCATTTCTATTTCTATCTCTTCTAACTACTTTATAACCTGGTATACTTATTTTATAGAGTCATTTACTAATGAATCGATTCTCGATTCGCTAATAGCAAAGACGTGAAAGGAATACTGTGATAAAATATAACGAATATGTTCTATATTTTTTAATAGACTATTGATATCTAGAATACCAAGTTTCAGACCTTTTAGTTTTCCCATGCATTTGAATTGATAGGCTACATCTCCACCATGCTGTGTCTCGGGTGTTGGGGGGCTGATAGAGCTAGAGATGTTAAAAAGTTCCCCAGTTGTAGCAGTTGGCTTGTCTGAAAATCCTGACCAAACCTTTTGTTTCCTTGCCTTGTTCTTGTTGTATGGGTGTTCGTTTTATTGCCTCCTTGAATAAATTTAATTAAATTGGCAGCTAAATAGGCAGACACTTTACCGTTTAAGTGGATCTTGCTACCGTTTAAGGCAGTCCTATCAATGTTCTCATTGTTTATAAAACCATAAGTACTAGAAAATACATGCATGCAGAAACCCTCGCCTTGCTGACAAAACCATTGTATTTTCCGAACATGAAGTATCTAAAGTAGTTGTCATGGTAACACGATAATTTTTTAAGAATATTCTTACAAATGAAAAATCGCCTAAAAATATCACTTTTACAAAATTATTAATTTCCCAACATATATATGTTAGGTATGTTATTATACGTAATATAAGCCTCAATTAGTAACTAGTAAGGTAAAATTCAACCACAAACGCAACCTCGTTCCCAGGATCTTTCTTAGAACGGCGCGAGGCGAAGGAAAGACCCTGGTTTCGGTTGGTCACGTGTCACCCAGATTCTGGGTGATAAATTAAAATGATACTATGAGCAGGGTGGGAGAGGAGCGTGTTTGTCACGTTTGTAACAATATTTGCAATTCTGTGTGATGAAATTTAAATTTGCAACAAGAAATCGTGAAGCCAGAACTGCAATTAAAAATTAATATTTATCGTGATGTGACTTTCTACTCTATAATCTAGTGTCGAGTTACAATTCAAGCAAGTTGGATCAGATTTGAACTTATAGACTTGCCAAAGAAACCACGCCTGGGCGGCGTGGCAATATTAATTTAAAGCCTACAAGAAAATTCGTATCTCTAGACCGACCAATGTGGTTTATATTTATTTAACTGTTAGTATTAAAGTATATCCTGATACTCGAACCAAAAGAATATATTTATTGATGAGATGTGGAATTGGAACGAAATAGCGAGATCTTTTGATTTCCGAAATATCGCTAAACGGCCAAGACGCCAACTGTATCGAGATTGTTGATTATAAAAGGCCTTATCACAAAACTTAAATCCCGTCAAAAGACTATAAAATTTCCTGCAAGATCTCAACGACATGGTATATATGTCAAAGTCCAGCCGTCTGTTGAAAATCGACGGTATTACAGTAAAGTCATACATCAAAGATCAGTCAAACGACAATATATTTGTCTTACTGCATGTTTACTATTGTGTTTATACCACATTTATAAATTTTATAAACAGCTTTCGTTTTGACACAAGCTTTAATTTTCTGCTTTACATATATTCTTAATAATACAAGTGAGATTTAAATTTTTTGCTTTGTGAAATAGAATACCGTTATTTTTTAATGGACATCTTGTATCGTCTCTATCATATCCAGGATTGCTTGTGTGTAAATAGCCTACATGCATGTATCACATATATGCCACTATCAAATAAATATAGAAATATAAATGAACTTATTGAACTAGAAATAAACAGATGATTGTGACACAATGAAAACTGTTAGTAGCCTTAGTAGAAGTAGAAAACTCGAAAATTTATGTGTATTCGTATGGCAGTCTGTGCGCGTCTGACACTGTACTGACACTGTAAATTTGTGATGTAGATAATTTATAGCCTAGTTGTGTGCATATTAGGAAAATATTATCTGACCAAGAAAAAGGCTAAAGCCTTACAATAATTAGTGAATACAAATTATGTACTAAATCCAAAATTTTAAAGATAAATCACTGACAGACATTTCTCTGTTTGGCTAGTATCAAATGTTTACATTTGCTGATATTGGGCTCTACTCTCTAGTCCTAGACAATACAATTATACAATACTGTTTCTTTTAAAAATCTTATAAACAAGACGTACAAAGCATAGCAACGTTTACAAAAACGGACAAATCTAATACGTGTTTTAAAAACATTAGATATGTAGAAATGGTGACCACTGAAAAGCCCATAAACGTTTGTTATAAAACCGCGCTCGAGTGTGAAGAGAGCATTGAATAATAATAACACGAGAGAGCACTGCGAGTAACGATTTGCTTGGTTTCTTGACTTGACTGTTGGTAAAAATGTAAGAATGTTCTTGTAAATTCAAAGCAAATAAAATAAACAAAAATTAGCAAGTATTTTGAACTTACTAGTATAATAGTTCGCAAAATTTATGTTTTTAACTGCTTGTAATTTGATACTTTCACCACACCCCCCTCGGGCAATCAATTTTGGACGAGGCACGTGACCAGCCGATACCAGGGTCTTTCCTAAAGACCCTGGAAACGAGGTTGACACAAACGCTTCGCAAAACGTTTTAAAGTCACTAGTGTTTTTTATAAAAGGCATAAAACTAATCTGCGCCTTTTAAAAACTTTGAGTTTGCAATAAAATGATTTCAAATTCTCGCTTGCAAATAACTTTGCTTTTTTTTATTTAAAAAATTCAATATCATAAAGAAGGGAATCAAGATTAAAATACACTGAAATTATATGCTGCCTTGTTTGGTTGTTTCATATACGCAAAGGCCGTCGGGTTTTAAATTTAAAGCCATTATAAAATCAATATTTTAAACAAACTTACCTTCGTTAACGTCGGCTCCCTTCTTTTAGCCAATTCTTTCGCTGTTTCTTTCTGAAAGAGCTTTTGAAATTTACAAAATCTGTCAAAAATGCGAGCAAAAATGAAATATATTTGCAAGAAATTTATCAATCATCAAATCAAGAAATGTTTGCTATTTCGCTGTCGTCATGCAGTCGTTATAATGCAAACTTTAAATTGGACCAATCAGTGTCCGCTATTCATGACAGTCCGCCATATTATTGAGATCAGTGAGGATGACCACCCACCGAAACATCGTTGGTGAGCCACGCCCGCGATATTTGATGAACTTTAGACTTCGCTAATGCTTTCGTTTCCACGGGTGTAAATAGCCGGGGGGAATTAGTACCCTCTCACGGCGCTTCGCGCCGTCGTCTCGGGGACAAAAACAACCTCATTAATATTAATACCAAGAAGCATTAAAATAGGAAAATTATACCAATAAAGCAACAAATGATGTATTGATATCTGTACTAAAATTGGGTAGAGGGAATTGATCTCTTGATATCATAATGTTGAAAATTTTCAATAATTACTAATTACATTGAAACGTTTAACATTTCGACTTATTGTATAGTTATAGTAGAATCAATCATTCAATGATAGAAAAATACTTACATCCACAGTTACTAAGTTCATTGGAACAAACGTTTGAATACTTGATTTTTTCTGTGTTAGTGTACGTTTGAATACTTGTGTATAAGATGCCCAGAATCCAAATACGATTTGAAAATGACAGTTGACATTGATATTGAATGAATATTTACCCCATTGAATAACGTTTCGTTTTAATGTTTTCTGTGAACCATTATTAGTTATTTTTAACCATATGTTAAGAAATATATACACGTGCAAAAGTAATCAATATTTATTAAATATTAAAACGCCTTTTGAGTTTGTTCTTTTTGAATAACTAGTTCGCTTGCATATACGCGCCTAATCTTTAAGTAGTTCGCTGCAACATTATCTGGAGATAACCTGCATCATTATTTTATATTAGGAATGGGAGGGACAGCAGTATATTAGCAAAACCATGAAAAATATAAAGGACGCTGCCTTTTGTTACCAAGGCAACCAAGCTAAAAAATATAGTGAGGTGGTTTAAAACAGCTCCTAAGGGAGCAATTTTTTAATTCAAACAAATACATACTTTCACAAGATCAATTACATGCCACAGTAACTAATTAGCTCAAAAAATGAAAATCCATTTTTTCAAGTGGTTTAGGTGTACCCCCGTTAACTATACGTTTTCAACCAAATTAGGTTCAGATATGGGGAACTTTTTTCATGCTTTGTTAAAATCACAATTGGTGGTTGCAATTGACCATTTGCGTAATAAACTAAATTTTGAACTAAACAAGTCTAGACAACAATTTCATCACAGCTTGAAGGAGCATCACAAAGTTTCGTTGCAAAATGTGGTAAAATGCGGAAAATATAGCCTTGCGAAATTTGCAATTTTCAGTCATTTTAGATTACAAACGGGAAATTGACAGCCCCAAACCCTTCGAGGCTGTCAATTTCCGGTTTGTAATCTAAAATGACTGAAAATTGCAAATTTCGCAAAGCTATATTTTCCGCATTTTACAACATTTTGTAACGAAACTTTGGAATATTACTAATTTTGTGATGCTCTTTCAAGCTGTAATGAAATTTTTGTTGAGATAAAAATTTAGTCTATTACGCAAATGGTCAATTAATATTGGCAGAATTCTTATATTGAAGGCTTTAGTAAACTGACACCATAGTTAAACTAGTTTGGCTTTGCTAAAGAAACCTGCTCCAGTCGCGGATATTTAGAAAAATACACACATTTGAATAGCGAATTTGTAGATTGTTAGGAAGTATCCATTGCAACAAATTGCTGTCCTGGAATCTTCCCGCTCAAATAAAATGGTACTTTTTTTATTATTGGACAAATTTGGCATTTCATGGGTTATATCTTTTTTCTTTGTTAATTAATAATCTATTTTCAGAGCGTTAAGGTCACCATTCACCATTTCCTTTTTCTCCAGTATTGTTTCACAGAGATCTTGGGAAAATTTCCCTAAACTGATTGGTTATCTGGAATTAATGACCCAATAAATTCCAAACAGATGCAAAGTACCTGTATATATGTGGTTCAGTTCAATATATCGTATCTTGTTTTAGACAAATATTGCATTATATGGCATTGGAGTGGACGATGCGTCATTTGAGAAAAGTGATTATGGCACTGTCTTTACACTCGCCCAAAGATATGTTGATTTTATCCAAAAAATCCAGCCACGTGGTCCATATTACCTCGGTAAGTAATTTCACAAAATTATTTTTACACACGTCATAATTGGTCACAGATTTGCTACAAAATTGTTACACTGAATATGATGATATCAGTTGATGGAAATTAATGTTGCCTACTTGTGAGCAAGTTATCGAAGGCTTCATGAAACCTTGTCAGAAGGTTGATGACTCAACTTGTTGTCGTCGAACATTTCAATATGTCTGATCAGGCGTACAGAATCAAATTGTTCAACAAGGCAACAATCTAATAATTCTCTTAAACTGCGAGAAAATTGCTGTTCTTAATTTCATAATAATTAATAAAAACAAAAATACATCAATTGGAGATCTTGTCTAGGTTTTGTGCAGTCTTTGTTCATCATTGTATTTTAAACCAACTAACCAACCAATAACAATGTTTAGGTTTTCATAGCTAGGTTAAAAATTACCATTGATTGATTGATTGAGCGGAAATGCATAGGGATGGGGTGACGTCGATGAATTAAGACAGGCTAGAATACTACGTAATTAATTCCATCAAGTGGCCAAACATGTATTCTATGAACTGTGACGTCTATATACAGTATGTACACATACGTATGTTAGCAAAATTCGTTATCTATTCCTAATTTCTTAGCAATTATGTATACAGTGTGGAGAATCTGAAATAGATTTTCCTTGATCATCGTCATCTTTTATTATTATTACAATATTGCCTGCTCCCAAAAGGGCTTTTCAGCAGGTAATTACAAATCATTTATATACTACAAACAATATATATATACACCCACAAACATACGGACATACATACAAACACAAATTAAAAATTTTATAATTATTAGTAATGTTACTTTAAAAATGATTAACTACTTCCTAATAAAATCCATACAGTAAAAACGTTTATATGCTAATTTAAACAAGTCCAAATTGTCTAAAACTATTAACTACTTTCTAAAAATCCATGCAATAAATGACGTTTATATTCTATTTTAAACCGGTCCAAAGTGTCAATGTCTTTAATATGATTTGGGAGCTCATTCCAAATAGACACTGCGCGATAATGAAACGTTCGCTGTCCAGAAGCCGAATTATACAGTGGAATCATATCCAATGGAATCATTAACAATTAGACAATGAGGCCGAGTTGTCTATGAGCGAATAGTCAACGAGGCGAAGCCGAGTTGACTATTTGCTCATAGACAACGAGGCCGAGTTGTCTAATTGTTTTAGTATAAACTTTAACATTAATTTACAACTAGGCTGCAAACACAATACAAAAATACAAAAAAACAACAATATAAAACCATTAGGGGTAAACAAATATTTTAGTTTTTGTTCGCGTAAAATGTTTTACAAAATTCAGTTTTAATTTTAAAATTTCATTGAGTGTATGTTATTTTGTCTATTTTCTTACCCTTAAAAATTGCCATTCCATATTTTTGTTGCTTTTTTCGGGCTTTTTTAGTACAGAATTGTTCAACAAGTCATCCAAAAAATCATCAGACACTTCGGCAAAAGTGCAAAACGCGAATTTTCCGCCATTTTGAATTTTCTATTAGTAGGCTATCACTAATAGCCTACTAGTAGCGTAGCCAATCAGAAGCCACGATATGTGATAGCCTACTAGTAGGTTTATACTAATATCCATTAGTATAAACCTACTAGTAGGCTATCATGTATCGTGCGTTCTGATTGGCTACGCTACTAGTAGGCTATTAGTGATAGCCTACTAGTAGCAACAGCGGCGAAGGGCACGAGAGTCAATGGCCGTTTTTAAGCATTAAAAGCTGTATTTAAAGGGAAAAAGCTTATCAAAATGGCCTAATTTTGGTTCTGGATTACACACAAACAAAGACTCTTGGAAACTGCTGACACATGCGGTAAAAATTTTAAGTTTTCTCAACTTTGCTCGTAGTTTTGAACATGAAAGTGACAGGCGATTTTTTAAATGTGCAGAATGTTTGTTAATATTCCAAGCAGAATCGTTGAAATTCAACAATACTTTGTAGTTATTTACCCCTATTTTCTCAACCTCTTTAGTGTGTGCTTGTTTTAAGTACGAGTTCATGTATTTAGCTGTCATTTTAAAGAGTTTTTTTCGTTTAAATGTTGAGATTTTGGCCGAGTTTGTTTTTCGTCTTTTTCGAGCCTTTTTAAGTCGAGTTTTTCGATTAAATTTTAATCTAAACTATATTGTCTATGTATACTAGATTATGGAAATAGTTTGCCTCTTTATGTTCCAGATATGTTAAAGATTTCAAAGACATTCGGATAATCGGATTCTTTTGCATGTGTGTGCATTTTTATTCGGCTTTTTAACAACGTAAACTTTATTTACTAATTTAATAAAATTTCGGGAAGCCATTTTGTGTTCGAAATTTTGGATTTTTTAAGCCTTGTTTCCTTCTTTTAAATAAGTTTTAATTAACCAAACTTTGCTTCTATAACGGTCTCTTACTATTATACTGTTTTATGACATGTTTTTTAATTAACTTTTTAAAAACTCACAAGTTGTATTTTTCAAGTCATTCTTGCATGGGAGTTCGCAACGCTTAGTAGTTGTCAACAAAGCCAAGACGAAATGTCGCCAAAGCCAAGGAAGCCATTTAAACGCTCATTTCGTTAAAACGTTATTATTTTACATAAAAATCAAGTGAAAAATTCCGTTTTCTTTATGTGGTTTATACTAAAACAATTAGACAACTCAGCCTCGTTGTCTCTGAACGAATAGTCAACTCGGCTTCGCCTCGTTGACTATTCGCTCATAGACAACTCGGCTTCGTTGTTTGATTGTTAATTATACAGTGGAATCAATAAATAGATCAAATATACATTCAGTCGTCGTAACAATAGTCTGATATTTTTATAGCGGGTTATTCCTTTGGCGGCACGGTAGCCTACGAAATGGCAAGTGAGTTAAAAAGAGAATATAATGAAACAGTCGCGATGGTGTTCATGGTGGATACTCTCCCGTGGTTTCCCAAAGCCTTGACAAACTGTACTGAATACCATAGAAAGTGCGGAGAAGAGAAATTGAAGTCAATGGGAAAGCTTGTGGTAAATATATTGTTACCTGTTAAACTTTTGCATTACGAGTATGGTGGACGAGAACTGCCAGTACTTTTTTCGTATTATTTATTAGGAAATGTTTTAGAAATAAATATTTTTTAAAAACCATTTTAGAAACACAAAATGAAAGTTAAGTGAAATGAAAGTTAAATAAAAAATATATATATAAATTTAAAGTAAAATAAAAATCATTTTCTTTATCGACCGAGCGCTGGCACTACCATGATTCTTTGCGAACCTAATAATCGTATTCTTATATACTTCATGTCAGCTGCCATATAGTGGTTCACGGGAAATTAAAGATGGGCGACACCATGAACGCAAACTACACGATGATTGTTTCAAAACAGCATTGCAAAATATGTTAAGCAAAGCCTTAAAGGTCTGAACTTTTAGATCTTAATACGGAACATGGATTCCTCGAAATTCTGCGAGCATCCGTAGCCTCGACAGATGCTTCGAGATTTTATATGAAATAAATATTTGTTGAGGTCGAAGACTGACAGTCTCACTCTGTGTTGATGGGTCGAAGATGTAAATATTGTGAAGCCTCGGAAAGGAACTTAAAGGTCGTGGAAAGCTGCTTCGCTACAGCGTACAGGGGATATGTATACAAAGATTCGTCGAGAACACAATCCAAATGTAACCCGTAATCAAGTTAATAACGTTATAAATATTTATCATCTTTGTATGCCTTATTAAAAATCCTGAAGTCCTTGAAATTTTGAAAATCACGGTGATGTTGGGAAAAAAATATGCGCCGTATTAAAAGGTAACTTTACAACAAAGGGATCCTACTGGGTCCACCCTTGGGAGTTAGGTAGTCACGACAAGTTAATAGGATAACAGAATTCTACCTTTGCAACAGTGTACGGTTGTATCAGACTACAGAGTTGGGCAGTTTTGGACGAGATCTTGGGTGCAGAAAAGTTGAAAATCTAAGGCGGGTGAGCAAAACAGTTCCCAAGTGTGCATACTGATTTAAAAAAGAATCAAAGCCACAAAAATAGTCAAATAGATGTTGAAAACAACTGAAATTTGAGGGCAGATTAAGGAGGCTCCCTACAGTTTCCAATATATATGTGTTTTAATCTAAAAACTATTTGAAGCTATTTGAATTTGCACAAGCCGTTTTTGAGAGTTATTTGAAGTTCGCCAGTATAGTTTTCGAGAAACTGAATTTCAACATTTAAAGTGGCACTATCATTAATTTTTTTTTCATAATCCAGAAATATAACGTATGCTTGATATTCTTACCAAATTTCAAGGCTTTTCCAATTTCAAATTCGTTCATCTTCCTGACTTTTTTACGATTCTTATCTGCCAATTTTACGGCCGCCATTAAACGCAGCCAATTAAGCGAGAAGGCGTTTTGAAGAGGATGTGACGTCATTCACTCAACACGCCGAATGTTTTTATTGTATTTCACTACCATTTCAACAGTACATGTCTTCGTACAAAGGATAGTCAGAAACTTCAGAAAATGAACACTCGCATGGGGACAAAACGAGCTGTGATAAAGAAACGTACTGTGACTCACATTCAAGTGAAAATAACGATGAAAAGAAGAAATCAAACCTAGAAAAGTTAAGATTTGTTGACAATATATGGTTATCTTGTTTGTTGTTGAAAACATAACCTTTGGCACAAACTTACTTTTGAAGTTGAAAAGGATAATTTTCATCACTCGTTCAAAGTTTGCCTTTAGCATCACTTTATACTTCTTTAATATACATCACAGCAACTTGTCATGATAGTTTCTCACCTACACAAAACATAAGCAGCAATGGCCGATGGAAGGAAAACCTCCATCGTACTGCGTATGATAATAAACTTTCGGTCAATCAAAATACGAACAAAAATTCAAACAAATGCCATGTAATTTATAGCTATAAATAATATTTCAATGCATGTGTGTCTAATAACTGTCTATCGGTCTAATTATGACTATGTTTAACGACTATAAATTAATAAACTGACATGCCCTAGCTCAGGGAATTTTATCGTGCATGCAAGTGTAAAATATCCTACGACTCTACGCGCGTTTTCGTTTGCCGTATTAAAGATTCATTGTAGGCCGGCTAGTATTGTATAGCAAACTATATACAGTATAAAAAGGTCACACGCGACGGGGATAAATACAATAGTTGATTTTACAACTTGCATTTGAAAAGTAGATGTGTAATTTTCAACTTGCACGGCGCCCATTGCCGTTGGCATTGAAGGTCTATAAAAGTATGTAAAACAAATATTGTCTTATATTGAACATTTGAACTGATTTGAAGCATTGTTAATTCAGCATATTAATTCTGTGATTCGGTCCAGAGACATTTATATCCGTTCTATTTATAAAAATTATCCGATTCAAATGCAATTAGTTGTAAAATCTGAAATCAACTTATTGTAAATAATATGCAATAATATTTCGTACAGTATAATATCAGTACCTCGATATATACCGCGTTTATACGTGTCCCAGGGCAAGCGAAAACGCAGATAAAGTCATAGGATATTTACTTGTGCTATAAAATCTCCAAGTGCACTAAATTCCCTGAGTGTCAGTTTAATTTACAGTCGTTAAAAATACAGAAATACACCAATAGACACAAAATTATGCATTGAAATCATCTGTTTTAGCTATAACTTACATTTATTGTCAACTTTTCTAGGTTTGATTTCTTCTTTTCAACACTATTTTCACTTCAATGTGAGTCACTGAGTCACCGTACGTTTCTTCATCACAGCTCGCTTTGTTCCCATGCGAGTGTTCATTTTCTGAAGTTTCTGACTCTCCTTTGTACGAAGACATTGTTGAAATAGTCGTGAAATACAATAAGAACATTCGGCGTGTTGAGTGAATGACGTCACATCCTCTTCAATACGCCTTCTCGCTTAATTGGCTGCGTTTAATGGCAGCCGTAAAATTGGCAAATAAGAATCGAAAAAGTCAGGAAGATGAACAAATTTAGCCTTGAAATTTGGTAAGAATATCAAGCATACGTTATTTTTCTGAAAAAAAAATTTTAATGATAGTGCCACTTTAAAGATTGCATTTTGCCTTTAGAAAGGCTAAAATTCAGTTTCTCGAAAACTAACTGGCGATTTTCAAATAACTTTCAAAAAAGATTCAAAACTTCATAACAATTTATTTTTTGCAATAAAAAAGGTAGGTCACCGTGGTTATTTGTCCGTTAAGACAGCTTTTTTGGTTAATATATGCCATATAAATGGTGACGTCGTGTTGTCATGGTCACGTGACGAGAAGCGATTGTGGGTTAAAATTACTCTTTTATATAAGAGGAAACAATGGCTTGGGCAAGGGTGGACCCAGTAGGATCCCTTTGTTGTAAAATTGTCTTTTAAGGTGACTGCTACACTTTTTTAAAAATTACAGATTTTCTGATTTGGACATGAATTTCTGGAGAATTATTACTTTCTTTTTTTTATTTCACATTTTCCTATCTTGAAAAATTTCGGCATGACAGAATTTTTTTAAAATCTTGAAAATAATTTAAAATATCAAATATCAATAGAAATCATTTTATGAAATAAAAAATGGGGGCCACCGAAGTTTTTTTTCGAGTTAAATTACTTTAATAAAAATAAAAGATCCGCCATGTTGTGACGACATTGTTGCCATAGCAACGGCTGTGAGGAGTAGCTTCTTAAAAATTCCGAACTCTTCAGTTATTGTGTTATGCCTGTCAGATACTCTTCGTTTTTAAACAAGTAATAATTGTCCAGAAAATCATATCCAAATCCGAAAATCTAAAATTTAAAAAAGTGTAGGGAGCCACCTTAATACGGCGCATATTAATCCCCAACACCACGGTGATTTTCCAAATTTCAAGGCCTTCAGGATTTTGGAATAACTATAGAATCACCCGCCAACAGGAATCCTTTTAAAAAGGTCCATACGCTTACATACCCACACGACCTTACACGATATGCGCCTGCTGTGCAGGCCTACGTATCTACAGGCCTACACGCCTATGGTGACTACATGCCTACGCGCCTACATGCCTACGGGCCTACAGACCTACGATGCCAGCCGATCCGCACGTTGTAACCCTAACCCCAACCCTAACCCTAAGTACAATCATGATCCTTCAACTCAAACTAGTCAAAGTGTGTAACAGGAATTTAGTATGCTAGTATAATTCAGTATTTCAAGTGTCAATTAATTATTTAGTTAATTTTACATTCACATTCAAGTTTGTACTATGTTATATTTACGTGAAGCTGGTTGATAAAAAATAGTAAAACCCAATGGAATATAGAAAAACTGTCTTAATATAACGGAGACCTATATTGACGTATTGTCGCAGTAAGATATGAATGCCTAGGCACTTTGCTAAACCCACGAGATCACGTAGCCCATATGTTCTCAACAACCCCGCGTAGGTGCGTAGGCAGACTCTAATTCAATACTTAACCTTGCGGTGTATTCTATAGTTGTACCGGATTTTTTAATAAGGCATACAATGATGATAAATATTTATAACGTTATTAACTTAATTACGGGGTACATTTGGATTGTGTTCTCGACGAATCTTTGTATACATATCCCCTGTAGGCTGTAGCGAAGCAGCTTTCCACGATCTTTAAATTCCTTTCCGAGCCATCACAATGATTACATCTTCAACCCATCAACACAGAGTGAGACTCAGTCTTCGACGTCAACTGACAAATATTTATTTCATATAAAATCTCGAAGCGTCTGTCGAGGCTACGGATGCTCGCAGAATTTCGAGGAAGCCATGTTCCGTATTAAGATCTAAATGTTCAGACCTTTAAGGCTTTGCTTAACATATTTTTTAATGCTGTTTTGAAACAATCATCGTGTAGTTTGCGTTCATGGTGTCGCCCATCTTTAATTTCCCGTGAACCACTATATGGCAGCTGACATGAAGTATATAAGAATACGATTATTAGGTTTGCAAAGAATTATGGTAGTGGCAGCGCTCGGCCGATAAAGAAAATGATTTTTATTTTATTTTAAATTTGCTTTACTTTAAATTTATATTTTCTTTTTATTTAACTTTCATTTAATTTCTAATTTCAATTTAAATTTGTTGTATTTTTAAAATGATTTTTAAAAAATATTTATTTAATTTCTAAAAAAACTCCTATTAATAAAAATACGAAAAAACTATTGGCAGTTCTCGGCCACCATACACGATTATGTCACTCAAAAGGACCAATTTCTATTAACGAGTCTTCCTTTTAACAAAAGACATGACATATATGCGTGTTGGATGTAAACAACATATCTTGTCTACAACTTTGAGAAGGTACAGATAATTCTTTCTAAAATCATTAGTTCTGGATCTGTCTCAATAAAATCACAAGGACGTTAATGTTAAGTCTTTGGGCTATGTCTCTGGGCTGAGAAATAATTCCTTACACATGCGATCAAAATGTTTTATACAAAGATGTAAAACGGTAATCTAGCTATATGTGTAATGGATCAGCATTTAAATTTCCAACACTGTTTCCGAGACGTAATTCAAGAGATAACTTATCATTGCATTTGAACTATTACATCAGTTGGTGTTATGCTGTGCGATAAGCGAATATTATTGGAAAGAGGGCTTCCATATACGTTGAAATTACCAAATAAACACAGTGGCGTAACCGAAGAACAGGGGGCCCTTAGGCATATTTGGTGTGGGGGCCCCCTGTTGACTGTTGTCATTGTTTGACTCATGAGATATATTTTTATATTGAGTATTTATAGAATGTAGTCTGGAAAATTCCATGTCTATAGCAATAACAGTCTCCAACACATGTAACAGCTAATAAGAATAACATTTGTTTTAGCGAAACATGATTGATATACCTGGTTGCAGTGAACGAACAAACTTTATAACATTTGTTTTAGTTGAGATGGAATAAAAAAATCAGCTACCGTTGTCGATGGAGGTTTAATTCTTTAGCATTACTAATTTTGCATTTTCCCATTGATTCTTAACCTGCATTTTTTACATTTTCTAATTTTCTGGGCGATAGGCCGTGGGTGATGGGGCCCCTAACTGTCGGGGGCTTTTAGTTTTGGAACTAACCCTACCCAATGAGCGCTACGCCACTGAATAAACAGCGCTATATGCACACATTTCTCCACTTCGTTGTAAGTTTACAGAGCATATTTTATACTTTGGGACTGATTTTTGTTTTTGATGTGAACATTTATTCTTATAGTTTAAGGTTATTTAAGACTGATGCTGTCGTAAGTGTTTTAGCGGCAAACAATCGACAATATTTCATTTTAGCGTTGTCTTTGCCGTTACGTTGGCTTCGCGTTCCTTTTGTTTTAAATATCTAATTGATTGCGTTAAAAAAAATATTTTTCAGGCCATTCTGTACTTTCTCAAAGTTGTAGACAAGATATGTTGTTTACGTTCACCACGCATAAGATTACATAACTCAAACTGATTCAAGCAAAACCGGTCTTTTGTTAAAAAGAAGACTGGTTAATAGAAATTGGTCCTTTTTAGTGACATAGTCGTGTATCGTCATCAATCCGAGACGTTGAACAATGAAACAATTTGCTGTGAAATTAGTGAAGACAAAATAGCAGTTTGTCGGAAAACTGCGGGTCTACGGAGCGGGAACTTTTCTGATTTGAACTCAGCGTGCTTGAAAGTGTTAGTTCCCGTAAAAATATTTCAAATCTAAGACATGCTAAATCAAAATCGTTTTCTAGGCACTTATCGAGGTCACAACACACGGACTACAAATGCCCTTGACATACATGCAATATAAGACATCAATAGACAGTCCAATTACACTTATAACCCAGTGGGGTTTTTCCATAAGAGGCCTGGACACTAAGCTTTATTGACTTGTTGTTATTTAGTGAGTTCTCACATGAGAATGACGAAAAGCTATAAACAACAACAAGTCAATAAAGCTGAGTGACCTGGTCCCTTACGGTGAGAATCCACTGGGTTATAAATGTAACTGAATTGTCTGTTGATGTCTTATATATTACGCGGTAGAAAGTTTGTTTATGAGGCAATGTGCTTATCTGTGAATGTTCATTCTCAGATGTAAACGACGGTACATAAGCCTGGATAGATATATTTGTATTTGTGTTTAATAATAAACATGTCGTTATATTTTTCATTTGCAGACAAGGCAAGTGATTGAGAAAATGGCTTTTGTTAGACTTGGTGTAACACGAAATGAAGTGGATAATTTGTACGAGAATTTAGGAGAGAACAAAGAAGTGATAACTGCTTTGGAGAATCAAGCTGCTGAAAAGAACCTGAATTTTCCTTTAAAAGAACAGGTTGACACTGTTTTATACGAGCTAAAATCCGCTGCCAAAGCACACAATGATTGGCAACCTTCTAAGGTACTGAATAGCTTACATGTTTCACTTCTAATATTGAACAGACAAACCTTGCGGATTACAACTCTAATAACATACTGTACATAATTAACAACTCGATTCTTATTGGCTAGGAGTGCAAAAACAGAAATGCGGTGAAAGAAATCTTTTATTTGCGTGCATTCGCCACACGTATAAAGATCATGTAAAGCAAAGACACGGTTTTCTTTTATAAAGCTAAAGAGACGACTGAGGAAGAGTCAGGCTCTGTTCGTCATACACTTAAAATCAGCTGAGATCAGTGAGAAGACCACCCATACACCATGACGACACTGACACTTGTGAAACATAGTTCCGTGCCTGCGATCATTGGTAAAAGTTTGAATCCGCTTGCTGACAGTTGCGGTCTTTTTTTCTGGGTGTAAATAGCCGATCGAAATTAGAACGTTCGCCCCAGCTAAGGGAATATGTTTTACTTTATCAAATATTTCTCCTATTGTCTGCATATTTTCTGCTTTAACACTGGACTGGTCACAGTTCGGATCGAGATCAGTTGACCGAGCTTACTGTATATGACTATCAGCGATAAAGTTCAGGTTTTGAGAAAAAATGAAATGCCGGCTTTGGCTATTAAAGTAAGTTTCCACAAATTGCGAAAATACGCAAGCTAGCCTCCGAGAAATTTAACACGTGTGAAAATGAACAAGTGTGAAAAGTTGTATCTTGAAGAATCATAAAACAGTTTATTCATATTTCTCAACAGATATATTATGAAGAAACAATAACATACGTATGCTCTGATGAGACCCACTTGTTTTCGCTATGGAAACCTGATATCTGGAAGTCGTTAGTTGAAAGAATGGAATTTCTCTTTGTTTCCGGAAATCATATAGAACTGCGTGACGAGACTCGTGGCAAGATTTGCGGATCCATGATGATGACAACAGCAGCAATGAAGTATCAGTCAGCATTTTCAACATTTAATCTCCAGGCGGTGAGATCAAGGCCTCAAGAACGGTTGGTGGAGTCTCTCAAGCAAGGATTGGCCATCTGGATGTTATCAAGTCCAAGTATAAAAGAAATATTGCTATTATTGCAAATAAATAAGTGTCATATCACTGTACTACTGTCGGTGGGGCTTAGATGGCGCAGTCGTCAGTACAATGACCATTCACGTCTGAGGTCGTGGGCATAGGCGTATCGACCGGGGAGGAACGGGGGGGGGCACATGCCCCCCCCCCATATTTTTACGGTCGGGCAATTGAGCAGAAATCCATGTGTCATTCGGGCAAAACATATAACTCTCATCAAAGTTGATAAGAATGAATGATTAAATATAATAACGCTAATATTAATTGCTTTTATACTTTGCCATATATGAAGAACACCTGTGTGTGAATGATGATGGCTTACGGCAAAGATTATGAAGATTGCAGAAACATTGAGCATTGTTCTTAGTTTTTGTCTTTGTGTTTCTAGACATTTCGGTTAAACTTCTGCTAAAGCAGCCTAAACACAATAATACTCATTTGTTTATACCCCCCCCCCCCGAAAAGGCCCTTTCTCCTAAATTTATACAAACAAACCAGCGAAGAATAACAAATAGATAAACGGAAAGTAAGTTTTAGGCTTTATCCTTTGTCCTTGTTTAACAAAATCGATTTAAATTGTTGCGTTTTTTCACCACTAAGTATAAGATAAATTATTGTTAATAATTTATTTATTTCTTGTGCGTTTTTTCCTTCGTTTATTTCAAATACAAGTATAGTTAGCATAAATTTTAGAGCAAATTTGGATGCTCAGAATGCAGGAAATTGCATTTTCGAGCTTCAAATTTAAAAGATTAGACCCGTACGCCGATGACTCCTGTGGAACGGAAACCTTGGCCGCGCAAACAGTTGTAATAGTTGTCGCATTTGAAATATGATGTAATATATTTAAACCCATTTCCCCAAGTTTGGAACTAATCTTTTGTAGTCTTAGTAAGTAGTTATGAAGTGAATCTCTGTATTCAAAATGCTAAGTAAACCCCTTCCCGTCCCGAAATTTATTTGTTGACGGTCCCTATGTCCTTGAATCCCTACGGAAACGCTATAACCCAATTTTTTATTCACATTCAGGTTCTTCAACAATGGTAAAAGGCACTCTGTGGTTAAATTCTGAAGAAACGATATTTTACTTCGAATATACGTTGCTTGGACGTCGTAAAAGACAAAAGATTTTTATCAAAGGTGAACTTTAGAGTACAAATGAACTACTTATGTACCATTTTAAAACACGAGCAGGAGTGCTTTATCAGATATAAAACACGAGAGCGCAGCCCCAGTGTTGTACATGATAAAGCACGGACTGCGAGTGTTTTAAATGGCTTAAAACGACCAATCTGATGAGTTCATTGGCAAAGTAATTTCTAAAATAAACGTTGTCTAAGCCGAGAAAATCAAAGCTAAAGTTTATGTAAATTTACATGATTTTTTATCACATACCGGGTGTCCCCAAAAAAGCTTGCGCTGTTTGACTTAATGTAAGATAAAAACTATAAAGGCTATTACACTCAAATAAATTTTATTATATTCAGGAAGGGCTAACTTAGATTTTGATATACAGCCCTAAAAATGTCATTTAATATTACGTGAGAATGGTGAGATACAAATGTTTGAATTTGGCTTTAAAAATGAGTAAAAAAAATCGAGAAACATATCTGATCAAATTTATATGAAAACAATTACCATTTTCCACAAAAATGAACAATTTCAATTTTAGCATTTCAACTCAACTTTAATTTTGGGTAATATTCTAGCATAAGTTAACCTTTCGTGTTTCTTGGGAAGCAAAATAAACATGAACATTTAAAAACGTTCGAAAGCATATTTGACGTCCTTTGGCTTTGCGAGTTCGTATTATAAAGTTGGTCTTCGTTCGCCTTTTGAATATGCCTCGATTAGCAAAAGATCAAAAGCTTTGGGTTTTATGGTTTCCCATGCAAGGCATTGTATACGTGAAGAAGAACATACTTTCTAAGACGAATAAATAAATTATTTATCCAACAATTATGTTTTTCATTCGTTCTTTTGGCCACAATAAAACATTTTTTTTATTTGTGTACAGCTAGTGTTATTTTGTGATTTCCTGCAATTTGATTGGCTACGCGAGCGGGCGGCTTTTTACGATATTTAGGCCGCGGGCAAGAGAATTATTTTTTTTGGCGACAAACCGAAGAGCGAAGACAATTTTCGAACTCAAAACACTACCCAAGAAATCGCAAAAAATTCACGCTATCGATATTAAATATTGTGATATATTAAATACAGTGAATTTACTTTAATGGATTCAGTACTAAGCCCGAAATGTACTTTTCTTCGACCAAAGACAAAGTGCGAAAAAACAAATGTAAACATCGAAAAACAATGGCCATTATTACTACATGTTTTTTATTAAATGCTCCACATATATATTCAGCCATTCTTCGAAAACAGTATACATATAATAATAACTTACTGACCGGGAGAAAGGGCAGTACGGGAAAATATCCAACCGAGGTCTTGCTGTATTGACCGAGCGAGGTCTTGCTGTATTGACCGAGCGGTTGAGGTCAGAAAGTTTTTTATTATATGGCATTGTACGTTTGTAGAAAGTGGAAGAAAAGATTACGCGAGGGCAAAGTACAAAGTCCGAAACATTTGAAAAAAAATCAATTGTAAAAAATGTTCTTTGGTTAGTAAAACTGCTCTACAGTACTTTTTATATAGAATACTAAACACAGTTTGGATAGTATTTCAAGAAAAATACGAGGTATTTCGTCATTTAATCAAAGACAACAAATATGAAAACAATAAAATTAAATAAAATTACAAAATCAAGTACGTTTTTATAAGTTCGCTTCATCTCATATTTATATCTCTTTTTATCTAACCTAAACAGAAATTTTCAGGGAAAAATTATAAATCTGTGTCTGTTTTAGTTGTATTTTTTATTTAGGATGATGTCAAATTCCTCCTGGCTATCTGCAAATAAAATTTGCAGCTCTTCGCATTGTCAAAGCACAACTATTCCTGACCGCTTTTATAGTTACAAACATTGACTTTCGCTAACAAAAACGCATGGAGAAAGTTCTTTAACCACAGCAATTGCTCCTCTTTTTATTTTAGGTTTATTTTTCTTCGTTTCGAATAGTTTTGAAAGACTTTTAGACACTTCTTGCTGTTTGAAACTCGGCTCTCGTCGCAGGGCAATAAAAATTATGTATTGCCCGTGGGCAATACGGGAAAATCATGCCTCGTCAGCAGCCAATCAAATTGTGCGATTCATCAAAACAAATGCTTGCCATATAATAAATATAAATACTACAACGTACAACTTGTCCTTAACATAAATTTTAAAAATATAGCTTAACTGGCAGTTTAAGGACGGGACGATTCCTGGGCTCATTTCGGTCAAAATTGTTTTCATAAATGTTGTAATGAACAACTAAAATTTGTATACTTGTCTATCAAAAAGCATTTTTCACGCATGTCCATATATGCTGTAAGACGATTCGAAAAATAAATATGTTTACTTTAATAGTTTACCTTGTTGTCTTGTTGAGTAGAGAAGCATCTATTGCAATGAACTAAAAGCTTTTTATCCAGCTCTTATCTCGTCGATTTAGCAGTTTGTCAGCCATGCTTGTACTAAAGTAACAAACGCAACTCCATGATCTCAAATGTACTTCGCAACTGGAAATAAAAAAGTAAATAGGTTACGTTATTTACCGCTTGGGAAAATATTTTTCCAGTACGACCTTCCCATCCGGTACATAACATATATATAAAATTATATATATATATATATATATATATATATATATATATATATATATATATATATATATATATATATATATATATTTGATAATATTTGATAATATTTGATAGGCAATTTTACGCAAATTTTTAACATTCTCAAATATGCTTATTCGATTTATAACATCGATAGCTCAGTAAATGTTGCACGGACATTCAAATGTTATATATCAAAATCTAAGTTAGCCATTTCTGAATATAATCAACAGTTCTTCTACGAACTCGAGTCGAATATGAGCTGATGGCCGATGAGGCGCGTAACGCCGAATCGGCTATCGCTCATATTCGACGAGAGTGAGTGGAATAACTGTTTTATTATATACACAAGGTCTGAATTCACAGGCTTTGCTTTTAGGATATTTTCAATATTTTTCTATTTTGTTTATGTTTATGTTTATGTTTATATCTTCGCTCTTTCGGCTGATTATTTTTTCAAAAGTATAGCTATATTTTAAACCATTTTAAATTTTAAAAATTCATTTGCTAACCTGTAAACAATTTGCATGTGGGAGTTTTTTCGCTGTGTTTTTAATCCTGTAAAGGCTTTAAAAAGCGAACAGCTTGCCGTTTTCTCGTTCACAAAACGTCGGAAATTCAGTTTGAGCCGCCATTTTGTTTTTCTCTACTAGCAGGATATGAGCTAATATCCTTCTAGTAGAGAACCAATCAGATTGCAGAACACCTCATATCCAGACCTTGTGTATATAAGAAGTAATATTTTAAATCCGAGTTAGTGTTTTAAACGCGCGGTTTCTGTAAATACAAGTGCTATGAACAATGTCGAGGCGCAGCTGGGCCATTGTTCATGGCGCTGGGGATTTTGGAAGCCACGTTTAAAACACTAACGAAGATTTGAAATTGCTTCTCACACATCATTAGATATTCATAG